ATTTAAGACTTTCAATCGCTCCATACTGTAAAAAAGAAATGAACCCAACTTCTAACTAGTCGCTTATCACTGCTTATCACTTATTATGATTCATAAACTCGGTCTAGACAAGATAATCATTTAAATTTTTTAAATATATATATATATTACCCACACATATTAATTTTTCTGACCAAGCTCACCCCCAAGGCTCTTGGATTCTCTTAATGAGGCTATAAGATTGGACAAAAGCTATGACAAATAATATATATATATATATAATGCAGTACTTATATAATTAAGAAATTAAAGAAACCGTGACAACCAATGAGATAACTCAATCATTACTCAGTATGACAATCTCAGCTGTTAGTGGTCCGTTATTCATTGTTTTTACTGTCATACAGATTCCTTTCTTCTCTCCATATATATTTGCATGCTGAAAATGGCAGAGAGAACCCACAGGAAAATGCCATTTTAGTCCAGTTCTAAATGGATTAATTAAAGAACAAACTTTAAAAAAAAAAGAAAAGAAAAGAAAAAAACTTATCGTTCCAATTGGACTGAACAGAGCTGAATGCGTGTAAGTATTAATTTCATGACCTATATAGTTTTGACGAAAGTGCACCGACCCTTAATTCTTAGCTAGCTTTTACATTTTTTGCAGGGGTTGACACTGCAATTTTGTGCATTTATGAAACCAAACTGTCACTCTCTCTTTATATATATAGTACAGTTGAATTTTAGAGCCCGCGTGTGAGGACCTATTATTGCACCAAGCTCAAGCTGTTCATGAGCTGAGTATGAACTTTGGAAATATTAAATTTTCCAAAAATCTGGCTCATTGGGTTTGTAACTCTTTTTTTATAAATTGAAATTTAACCGTTATGTAAATGAGACTAATTTATGTCTGACATGGATTGTATTCAGCTAAACTCAGTTTTTTTTTAAAGAACGACTCCAAGTCTCAAATCTCTTATTTTACAAGTATAGTTGACTTAAAATATAGTTTACATCAACTGTTCCAACTTTTTTCAGAGTTTTGTGGGAAGCAGTGGCAGTAAAAAAAAAAAAATGTTAATGGTGATTATGAGAAATAAAAGGTAGACAACGTGAAAAGAAGCAGCTGCAATGTGGGTATTGGTTTGTCCATTTTGGGGTAACTTATGGGAGAGAAAGGAGGGGCGAAGATTATCATGTTGAAGGAAAAGACAGAGAAAAGGGACCATTTTCTGAGGAAAATGGCAATTATCTCGTCAGTGTTAGAATAAAAAATAATATCATAAACAGTAGTGTTTTGTGTAATTCTTTTATCTTATTTTATTTGCTTATAGAAACAGAATGAATTGTAGGTTACTTTGAGTATACTCAGAATTGTAAGGATAAATCTCTAGTGAGTTCTATTTAATGTCCAATTGAAGAGAGAGAGGTCCTCTACCACGTGCATATCTTAAATCTTTATGCTGTAGAGATAAGATAATAATAATTCAAGAGAAAAGGAAAGAACTATATTGAACAACTCACACTCTCGCACTCATAAACAGCCATTCTTTACATTTTGGATTCTTTCTGTATTTAGTTTTGATGCCTTCAGTATAGAACAGAACATGTTCCCTTATTTGAATCATCTTCTTCTATTAGACTACGTGTTTTTCTATATATATATATATATATATATAGGTGTCTAAGTTGACTTAGAATAATATAGTTTTCTAATCAGCTAGCTTCTTTCCTATAGTGTTTTTCGTCCCCGGTGTTGTTGTGTGGCAGGGTAGTTGGCCCAGTTTAAAAAAAAATAAAAAACTCGCTTTAATTTGGATTGTGATCAAAAGTATATAAAACGTTAGACAGACCGTCAAAAGAGCGCTGCCCCAATGTGGATGTGCTCACTGGCTTATGTCCTCCATTTGGGAGAGTGTTTAACCTGGACTTATGGAGGAAGAAAGGAGGGCCGGATTAAATGTTGAAAAGGAAGGTGAACCCAGAATTGAGGGGGACCGCTTTTCTAGAAGGCAAATTGCGTATTATTCGTTACGCTCAGCTCGGAAATAAAGAACTAAGGAATGGTCTATACTCACCATAATAGTAGAATGTTTTGCGCGTTTTACACATTCTGTGTGTAATCATTGTATTTTGCTTGTTTTGCTTGCCATAATAGGAATACCCGAAATTAATTGTAGGCTTCTTTGTGACTTATATGCTCAGCTAGATTACAAGCGCTCAACTTTCGGAGGCTGTTTCTAAAAGTATAGAAACTGTCCAATACAGAAGAGAGCGTTCTGGCTCTACCAACGTGCTTCTCTTTAATATGCTTTCTTATGCTTGCTGTAGAGTAAGGTGATCTCAATTAATTCAAGAGAATAAGGCTAGAATAGAATTAAAATCATAAAAATCTGAAAATTCTACAAACCTCTGCCTCTAAACGCCCTTCTTTCAATTTTGATTTTTTCCTTTGTAATGTTAGTTATTTGCCACGTAGTGAAAATAAGACGATGTTCCCTTAATTTGATTTTCAATCTTATTTAATATTTTATCTTATGTAGAAATAAAATAGAACGTTCAGATTTTAATATTGTAGTTTAGTTAGGATAAAGTTGATTAAATATAAATCTAAGTTTAATATATATGACCATAGTAGTAGTTACTTGGTAACTAATAAATCTCTTTTCATTTACCTATTAGAATGTTAAAACAAAGGAAATTTTAAAATTGATAGCCTTTACCATAATTTTATCTTAATACCCTTTTTCAATATTATATCGACTAAAAAACGTGACGTCCCGATGGTTGAAATTGTAAACGACCTCGAAACCCAAAAGCTTTAAAAAAGCTTAAAGAAACTATTCCCTGTGATGCTCTCTTCTTGCGCACAAGCTCTCTCTCTAAGCCCCACATGTTCTCACTAGTTTCATATTCTTTGAACTGTTAATACCACTCAAAAATTAAAAAAGCGATATTTAAGGAATTAATAAATTCTAGCAAAGGCAAAGTATCAGCTAAAATGTAAAGCTCAATGGAGAGAATATGCTCTCCTTATACCACCAAGAGAAAGAATAAGTAGTGTTAGACAGGCCATCAAAATTCCGTTGGAAATATCGATAAACATAATAGAAAGTCTCAATCGGTAAACCGGAGATATGAGGTCTAAAATAGTATAGGTTTGACCCAGGTACATCAGAAAGTGAAAGATGGTCTTAAGCTATTTTGACATCGCCCTCTCGAGTCCTCAGTACAGAGAGAATTAGTCCACCGATATGACGCGCAGAGTGGAGTTCGTGCTTTGAAAAAGTGTGCCCCAAAGGGAGTGCCCACCCGGAGGTGCCTCGATGTGTAAATGTGCATAATGATGCTATAATAAATCCTCCCTACTCACACCGTGAAAGCCGGTACATGCTCCGCCCCGGCTATCCTTCGGTAGTATCCTTGTAATATATAACATATAGATTTAGGTCTGTTTCTCTTTACCATGTATAGATATAATTATAGGTTCAAATGCGTAGAGGAGTCGGTTGGTGATTTTTTTGTGACCCAGGAATATGGTGAATGCGTGAAGTTGGCTAGGTTCTTCAAATTAAAGTTACTTTTTTGTTAGTTGAAAAAAATTAAGATTTTGAAAATACTATTTTTGTGAACACAAAATTCTGGTATTACAATAAATTCTCTCTCTCTAAGTAATAAGTTCTAATGTCGTGTTGTAGAGCACCTTATCCCCACAAAATCAATGATATGCCCAAAAGCGTCACTAATTTTGACTTTAAACAGTTCAGTGTATGCTCAAATAATATGAATGTTTGCAAGCTGGCGTGGGTGTATGCACCAAGGCCAAAAGTACTCTTTATCTTGAGCCTTCTAACTTGTATCCTGAGTGCCCGAAGTTGTCATCCTGAAATGTTTCTACTTGTACCAAATAATATATATATATATATATATATAACATTTTTCATTTACTTTATTTAACAAGAGATTTAAAATCTTACCGCATTTTATTTCTTTTTCACTATTAAATTAAACGAGTCGAGTTGAATTGTAACGAACTCGAACAAAGTACTTAGACTCAAATTTAAATTCAAATTTGAGCTCCACCCATTTACTAAATTTTATTAAATTTATCAAAGGAATAAAAAAATAATTTTAAAGGAAATATGATGTCATAACTAAGTTGCAAGATTGGACTTACTTCCACAAGGATAGAGAGCCGAAAGGCACCTTACACAAATAAAGTCAAATCACCAGCTAGCACCTAAAGAAATTTACCAGTACAAAAGAAATGATCAGCTCATGTACTTGCTCTACGAGTCGGACAGAGTCACAATCAACCCTAATCTGCTTTGAAAAGTGTGCCAAAGGGAGCAGCCCGAGAGGTGCGTCAGTTAATGTACTAATGATCATAACCCACCACCGGAAAGCCGGAATGCTCCGCCGGCGGTGATCTGTAAATCATAGAATTGGCTGGTTAATTTGCTTTGAGAATAATAAATTATGGGTCAAGGTGGGCGTTGGTGATCTTCTGACAAATGGCATGTGAGTGGGGTTTCAATAGTTCTTTTGTTAGTGAAAAAAAATATTTTAAATTAGAAATGGGAAAGAAAAATCAATCTAAGTAAGCAAAGCAATAGCACTTACACAACTCAAAGATCAAAAGCACTTATTATTAAAGGGGATGCCATAAAAGAAAGTCTCTCAAAGGGGTTCATGCACCAGTACTCTTTAATCTGAGCCTTCTACTTTGTGGGCCTAGTTTCATGAAAGGTCTATTTACCATTGATCTTTTCTACTTATAGTTTAGATTTTTCTATTCATTTATCACTGGTAAAGATCCAACGGCTGTTAATCAATATCTTTAGATTTAGGCCCACATAATGGGCGGTCACTATCAAAAATCATAAATTCATCATAAATGATCTCTGAGTCTTCTCTTTCTCTCTCTGTCAACTTTGCATGAATAAAATATTACAAACAAGTTGCTATATAAAGACTCACTTCTGTAACCCTACTGAATTGGTGATGGGTTTCTGAGATAATCCTGAACTTTCCATCTCTATATTACACTTTTCTTCTACTTCTCCATTTTTTTTTCTTTTATCTCTCTGCTGCATAAACATCAAAATCTTAAAAAAATTAAAAAAGAAACCTAGTTTCTCTCTCTCTTAAGCTTCTCTCTTCTTCTTTCAGTTTCTCCATACCTCTGTTACTCAGTTCATCAATCTCTCTCTCTCTTTCAGCCCATTCTTTTCTCCATACAGAGACTTTCTTTTCTTTCCTAAATTCTTGGGTTCTTTCTTTCGTTCTTTCTTTTATAAGCATGGATGTTGACATGATGAAATCATCATCATCATCATCATCAGGAGAGGAACACATGGACATGATGACAATGATGATGCAAATGGAAAAGCTTCCTGATTTTTGTGACCCTAATATGCAACAAGAAATCCATTTTGGCTCCAATGGAAATAATACTATTTATAATGTTTCTGCTTCTTCTTCACTTCTTAACCCTAACCCATCTCCTTCTTTACCATTTTTGGCCACTACAACTCCAATTCAAGAACCCATTACAGGATCTCTTCAGCCTAATATGGTAACAGCAACAAAATTCAAATATCCACCTCCATTTTCAAATGCAAACTCGTTTTTATCATCAATGGAAAAGAAAAACTCAACAGCAGCCATTAGAGAAATGATTTTTCGCATTGCTGCTATGCAACCGATTCATATAGACCCAGAATCGATAAAGCCTCCAAAAAGAAGGAACGTTAAAATATCTAAAGATCCACAGAGTGTAGCAGCAAGGCATAGGAGGGAAAGAATAAGCGAAAGGATAAGGATTTTACAAAGATTAGTTCCAGGAGGGACTAAAATGGACACTGCTTCTATGTTAGATGAGGCTATACATTATGTCAAGTTTTTGAAAAAGCAAGTGCAGTCTTTAGAACAAGCTGGGTCTAATAGACCAATGGCTGGCTTTCCGTTTTCAGGTTTAACAATGCCTAATATGGGTTATTCTTCTTTGGTTAAGAATTGCCAGTCAAGTCCTCATATGGTGGGCTCAATGCAGATACTTAGATAAAAGACAGGATTGGGTTAAGGTTAATTATATGATTTTAATGTGCATTAGTTGTGGTTTGAGAGATATTGTAAATTACTTAAGATTATTCAGCTGTTATCTTGTTCCCTTTGTTGTGTAATATTATTTCAAATTGATGATTCTAATTATCATTATTAATTAATGTAAGCCTTGTTCCAAAAATTCTATTGTATCTCTTCTCTCGTTAGAATGTTGAAAAGATCAATGTCTAATCTATGACTTAATTAATTAATTATCATATCAAGTAATTAATGAAATGGACTTAGAAAAAAGGAATATAGATGCATACGGCCTGTTTAAATCTTCTTTCTGTCTGTCTGTCTTTCTTTTCCCCCTCTCTATTTCTTCACTCTTGTTCGTTTTTAGAAACTTTCTTTTCTGTTTTTGAACTTCTAGAGATTTTTCTTCTTTTCTTTTTTTCCTTTTCTATATATACTCCAAAAGAAAAATCTTATATAAGTGTCAAAGACTTAGAGAGTCAACAGTACTAATATATATATGTAACCATGCCATGCTGTAAAGTTGGTTGGGATAGTTTTAACACCTTAAACCTTGGATCTTTTGTTACATTATGAAGCAGATATTTAATTGTTTAGTTATTAGGCAAAGGTCTATGTAGTTTGTACTAAATGTTATGAACAATATGTACTTGATTTTGAGCAATTGAAGGATCAATTTATTTTTTATCGAAGAATACAAAATGAGGAAGCCTCTCAATGGAGCGTTTGAATGAGAAAAGCACGGACAGAATCTGGTAAAAATTCAGAACTAAGCTATAATTGCCTTCTGGGGTTCGACCAACATTAATTGAACCTTTACAGTAAGTGAAATGGGGATTGCCCAAAAGGTCGATCGGTTACATATTTCCCATACTTTGTACACAAAAATAAGAGATGAATGTTGAGCTGTACAAAGATAGTTTGGCACCCAACTTGCAGGAGATGCTTCTCTTGAAGAGACTCCATTCAATATCTTTTGTAATTCAGTGTTCATTGTATACTGTTGTTCTACCAAAATTCCTTTAGATTCAACTTTATCATTGGAATGGCTCACCCGATCAATTATTTTTGGCACCCATTCTAACCATTCTGCTGTTTCAGACTATTCCTTCTGACGATCGATTCTCAACTTCTTGCAAAAAGAAAAGACACAACTTGGTAAAGATTCAACAGCCTATTATTCTGCTGGAGAATATGATTAGATTTCATCAGATTAGGAAAGAACCAAGCCATCCTTATCTATACATGGCTTTATCAGTATTTTAAATTGCAACATTCAATTTTCAACCATTAACTTTTTATTGTTCGAGGAGTTCAAATGAGAAGGCATTGGAAAATAAGAGGGACAAAAGAATACTATTTAGAAGACTAAATCAAATTGTCATCAACTAACACCAGAGATATGAGTGCACAGTTGTTTTTACGTACTCTTCAATCACAAATAATTAGAAAAAAGAAATATGAGAAATGACTTAAACGATAAGATATGTTTGAGTTGAGTGGACGGTTTCTATAAAAAAAATTACTTATAAGATAACTACGAATTCTAAAACTAAAATAATCGTATACTGAAAAAGTATGACCTAGAATATATAATTAAAAAGCCGTGTAAATTTGGGATTTTCATAATAATGCCAAAAAATAATTAAAAAAAAAAATAGGCAACATTAATCTGAGTGGCCAAACTAAGTCACGCTCCAAATCTCGTTATCTCTGGAAAACTAAGACAACTAGTATTTTTGTGAATAGTTAACATAAAACAATTGATTTTAGGAATTCCAAAAAAAGGAAGATTTATTTTGGAAATTGCATTTGTGGGAGAATTAAAAAATTTTATACTTTATTAGTTAAATTAAAATTATGTATTCCACTCAAAAAAAAAAAAAAAATATTCACTCAAAAAAAAAAAAAAAATGGAAGCCATTACCTTCCTAATTTCAAAATAATATATTTATATATATATATTATATATATATATTATAAATATTTATATATTTCAGCTTAATCTAACATAGAAAGATTTTTTTTTTTCTATGGATATTATCGTAAGTTTTATATTGTTGGTTGTTCTTACATGTTATTTAAAAAAGAGTTACCAAGGTCTTCTTTTGGTTTGGTGTCGGGCTATGGCAATGTTATCTTGCAGGTTGATTCAACTAGCCTCAACATAGATCACCAGGTCTGATTATGGCTTGTCAAAAACTTCTTCTTCGTTAATGGCAGGTTTCCATTACAAAGATTTATAAAGAAGCAATTTTTGCAGCAATCGCCTTTGACTTTTCCTAGCGGAATTAATGTGTTAAATCAACTTTTCCATGGCAATAAGAAGATCGATAGAAGTTGATAGTTGTAGTGTGTTTTTTCCCTCGAACTATTGCAGTGTAGATTGGGTTTACAGCCCTCCACTTAGATCAAAATAAATAAAAAAATAACTTGCAACAAAGCTAATATTATTGACTAACTTTCATCCATTACATTAATGGAAAAAAAAAAAAAAAAAAAAGAAAAAAAAAAAAAAAAAAACATATCATAAAAAAAAAAAAAAAAAAACATATCATTTATACTAGATTTATGAGGTTGGTGAAGAAGTATGACATTTTATATATGATCTAGCTAGTTTCAAATTTAGGATTTTGATATGTAAAAAGCGAGAAATAAATCTATTGATCAAGTAAGTTAATCATTCTTGTATATTTTCCATTGCAAGATTTACAACAACGTAATACATGTCCTTTTATTTAGATTTTATATATCAATTCGTCAGATGAAAAAGAAATTGTTAGAATCTTGAAGAAATTACAAACTTTATTAGTATTTAACCAAATGAGCTAAAATCAGAATGCAACTTTATATGCAATTTTTAAATATGTTCTATATATACTGAATTAAATGAAATCTTTTCAAAGCAAAACAAACTTTTCCTCTATTTTAATTAGTCAAACATCATACTACAAAAAAAAAAAAAAAAAAAACAGTTGAAGTTATTATATAGTAGTTAGCAAAGTTGACTAATGAAAAAAAAAAACAAAATTTTATCTTAAAACAGAATTGGGTCTGAAAAAGACATCAACACGTAGTGGCGATTATTAGAAAAAAAAAAAAAAACCAAATTAGAAAAAAAAAAAAAAAACCAATTTGATAATTTATTTAGTTATTTAAAAATTTTAGTTTATTAATTTGGAATGGGCAGGTAGGTTGCCTCCCAAGGCAGGGTCGAATTATGGTAGTGTTGATGTCTTAAGGATCATGCTTCGCTAAAAGCCAATCTCTCTCCCTCTTTCTCACCTCTAGCTATCCAAATAAAGCCAAAGTGGGTATTATTATTATTATTACTGTTATTTTTAATTTATTATTATATAAAAACTATATTATAAAGAGAAGAGAATTAAAGAAAAAGATAAAAATGGTCAAACCGCATCTAACAAATAGAAAGGCATGTGTGATATGCCACTAAGGTCCCAACATACCCACAGTGGGCTTTTGATTATTTGAATTTAGGACATTTTATATATATAGTGCATTGTATTGTATCCCTCTTTCTGACACATTCTATCATTCTTTTTATCATTTCATTCATATACCCATCTACCTCTTTTCTTAGGATAAGTTCCCATGTTCTTTGTGGCAGGATAAAAAAGCCTATAATAAGAACATTCTTAGAATTTTTTTTTTTTTTTTTACCCTTTTCATTATCTTTTTCTATCTCCATAATTAAAGATCAATGCGCTTTTTTGTTAGCTAATGGTTTTGAATTAATTGAATGTTAGTTATATATGACTTTCAGAGAATTAATTACTAAATATGTTAGAATTAACTGATTAAGGGACTATATAGTATTTTTTTTTTATATATAATTAATGAATTATTTATTACTTTAAAAGACTAAGGGAGGTGATACAATAATGCTAGGGAGGTGCGACTATAAATGCAAATTGCCAAATAGGTCAAATGAGATTTAAACATATTACATAGGTTGAAATGTGAAAATAATTTTTTTTTAAAAAAAAAAAATTACATGATGCGAACAGAGACAATAAAATGGTTGGTTGGATTAGACCTTGGCAGAAGTGCTCACTTTATAGGGACAGGTGGAGAGGACTTACTCTCATCTATTTTTCTTTTGGTTTGATTTGGACTTTTTAAGAGTTTCTTCCAATTCCATTATTTCTGTCCCTTATGCAAGGTGAGATGAATTTTAATTTTTCAAATCCGACAAAATAAATTTCGACAAATCAATCATTCTACATGGCTTTGCCTCTTCTCCGGGATTTTTTTTTTTAAAGAATAAAATAAAATAATTGTTCTTAAATTCTACCACATCAAATCACTATTTTCAGATTTCGAACTTTTCACCTTATAAAGTAAAATTCGCTGAGTTGATCCAACCACTTATTGAAAAAATGAAAAAAAAAATGCCCATTTCAACGTCAATAATGCAAAAAAAAAAAAAAAAAAAAAAAAAAAAAAAAAAAAAAAAAAAAAATTGCATGGGATTTTGGGTTGGGTTGGGCTGAAGGTTGATTTAGTTGGGCCATAACCCTCAATTGATTGCAGGGAAAGAGTTCCCCGATTAACAATTATTATATTATTATAATTTATAAAAAAAAAAAAAAAAAAAAAAAAAAATTGCATGGGATTTTGGGTTGGGTTGGGCTGAAGTTGATTTAGTTGGGCCATAACCTCAATTGATTGCAGGAAGAGTTTCCCGATTAACAATTATTATTATTATTATAATTTATATCAATCCCTTGATTTCCTATATTTAAAAGATTTTTATTTAGTTAGTATCTACATACATATATAAAAATAGCAGATTCAAATTTGTTGAAGCTAGAGCTAGCTAGACAGGGTTGAGTGAAGAAAGATGGCCCTGTTCTACGAGTGATCCAATACAATCATCAAACATTTTCTTTATGGACTTGAACTCAAATCCTAAGCTCTTCAATTTTGATGTGTTAAAATCATAAAATGGTCTGTTTAGTTGCTCAAACCTGAAAAAAACCAATAAAACATCAACTGGCACTGTTAGTTACTGACAAGAGAAATTTTGTTCTATAATCACTATTATTATAATTACCTTTTTGGGACGGGTAGAGAAGGATAATGAGCTGATAAGAACGAAACTAGTTCATCATTATCTAAAACTGATGAGCTACATAGGTATCTTCCAACAGCACTTTGATGTTCATAAACAAGGATATGGCAAAGTGCCACATCATCTATGTGAACATACCCCATCCTTCCATGCCACTTGAATTTCTCAGTTTCCCCTGTTTCATCCATTCATGTTGTTTAGAAATACCAAATCAAGCCCGCTCTAACAATACACTTTCCGTTGAGCCGTAACGTAATATAATGTATCAAACCTATTTTTAATGTAATCTTTACACTAAAAATGCATTTATTATATTACATTATATTTCATTACAGTTCATTACAGTTCATTAAATGAAGGTTTGGTATAAATGAATTCAAAATTGAAAATTTATTTACTTTTATAAAAAAAGGAGAATTGAATTTTAACTCTATGAATTTGAATATAACTAAATCAAATTGAATTTATATCCACCTTTCTTGAATGAAATTTGGTTTAATTGTATTCAAATCCACGGAATCGAATTCGTGGAATCGAATTCTTAATATCTTTTGATACCAAACATAAAAATTTAGATTTATAACTGAATTTCAGAAAATCTCGTGATATTTATTTGTACCAAACAAGGTTAATATCATTTTAACTGCTGTTTAGCATCGTTTTTAAAGAATTTGAAGCACCTCGAAGCAGGCCAAGAACATCAGATGCAGTAGAACACAATTGAGTTGGCAAACTAGGACCGATCACGAAGGAAGGAAGAACAGTTATCAAATGAATCCCATTTTTGTTGCAGAAATCCCATGCAGCTCTTTCAGCTAGTGTTTTTGATAAAGGATACCATAGCTTCATATTCATTAACACGTTAGCCTTTTGTTGTTCTAATACAATGTAGTATTAATTATAACTATAAATTAACAGCAATTTTTTACCTGCAGTGTCTCGCAAAGTTCAACAGAGCTCCAAGACGACTCGTCAAAAGGTACTGTGGGCTCAAAATCATCTCTAACTCTTACAGTTGATGACGATGAGGTCAGAATTACACGCTTTAGAGATGGATTTTTTGCGCAAGAATTCAATACATTCAACGTGCCTTTTACAGCCGGTTCCAAGATTTCTGCCTGCAACACCAAAATTTTAAAAAGAAAAAGAATTACATTTGCATATTAATTAGAAAGACAAAAAGTCTAATTTGGTGTTTCTGCAACTTAATAAGAAACACATTTTGGACAAGTAAAAAGAAAGAAGACAATGCCTTTGGATCAGAGGAGGGTTTGAGCACAGGGGAGGCAGTGTGAAATACACCATGGCAGCCAAATATTGCATCATCAAAGCTGCCTATTTCCATTAAGTCAGCTTTCACTAATTGAAGTCTCTCAGAAGCTCCTTCTAACTTCCACAAGTGAGCTAATTGCTTCTCATTTCCTATTAACAAACATACAAAATATAATAATGACTTTTTTCTTAAATAATTACAATTAATTAGATCGTTTTTAGTAAAAGCAAGAGAGACAAACCTGGATCTCTTACTGTTCCAATGACTTGGTATCCTGATAATAGCAGTCGCTTGATAAGCCAAGAAGCCAAAAACCCAGAAGCACCTGTTACACAAACTTTGCCTTCTACTTGATCCATGTATAAGTTCTTGGTTCAAACTAATTAATAGTGTAATTGCATCCAAATGGTTGATCGAATATATAAGATTGGATTATCTTAGTAGGTGGCAAGTAGGATTGTGGATTAATAAGAAGGTAGGTCATGCTATGCATGCATGAAAAGCAATTACACTCTTCTTTTCATGTTATTTAGTATTAGGTAAAGCTATAAATATATCATTGATGTAATGGACCCGTTCAGGCTTTTCTGATTTGGGCCTCAACTGGTCCATATCTTTTGTGCAAAAGCTTTCAGCTTCAAAACACAGTCCAAATTGATTTGGGCCTCTCGATCACGAGATGAATGGCTGGGTGGTCCAACTGATCCATATCCTAAGTAGTAACAATGTCCTCTTACTATTTGATCATTTTTAGGATCCATTGTGAAGCTAATATAGTGTCAAATATTCTCTCTAATGAAGTTCTTGAAAGTTGGGTTGGGGTTTGGTGAAGCTGGAGCATCCTTCTTCTCAAGTTTAGCTAATAGGGTATAGGCTTTCTAGCCTAGGTAAGTGTCTACCTTACCCCGATTTATTTAGGGTTGTCAAAACAAATTTGTGTAAGTATCGAATTAATTTAATACAGTAAAATGATTATAGTGAATATTTACTGACATATTTATTAACCGCATCAAAAATTTAAACTCTAACACAACACATGTAATATATGTTGTAACACATGTGATATGTTTAATTAAGTAGATTGCACGTGGATTATAAAATCCAACGTAATGCTCGTAACTTACCTATAATAAGTAGCTCAAATTCAACACTAACGTGTTTAATTAAATATAAATTACAAATAGATTTACGAGTCAACTCATTACATGAATATACTAAGACTCAATCCCCTCGTATTAATTTTAGATGTTCGGTGAATTCATACGTACATACGTCACAGTCCAATTTGATAGACCTAAATTTTTTTTCTCTCATTATCAAAAAATAATATAAAATATACCTAATCAAATAAAATGAAGCATGGAAAGATACCCAATCTTATTTTATTTCACAGCAAGTGTAATTCTGATTTCTCCGGTCCATAAGCAGCGCAAGTGTGTCTTTAACCCATGTGTTTGGCCATTGTTCGTCAAATCCAGTTACGTACGTAGAGCAAACCCACAGATATTTATTCCTAAGATAAAGATTAATGAAAGTCAACAAATGGGAAACCTCTTTGGTCTCTGTCGGAACCAAAAAAAATATTGAAAGGACATATGAATGAATATATCCATTCATATAGGATAAGTCATGGAATTACACATTGGAATGGTCACGTAAATTTTATGTACACTCACATTTCCACTTCCTTGTAAATTCCCATTTGTGTTTGACTGTGACCTAATTCATCCTTTTATTTATGCTATTAAAGGATGACAATTTCCTAATAAAATACTAATATTTGAAAGAAAGATTTAAATTATGATTATCGTCTAAGATTGACCCTTGATTTATCCGTAATGAGCTGCTTCTTGGAAACTCACCAGTTGAAACTGCACTTGTGTGAACAATTCTTTTTTTTTTTTTTTATTAAATAACAATATTTAAACGTGCTCCTTCAATTGTTTTGTGCGTGATGGTTTTTTACTCTTCTTCTTTGATTATTCAATTCTAACCCAAAAGGTCAAAATTAAATTTCTCAGCATAAATAAATAAATAAATAAATATATATATATATATATGTATAATATAATATCCAAGTAAAGAGTGACTGAGGGAGTTCCTACTTCCTACTCCTATATTCCATGATTTGTGGATCAAATCCACTTGATATGGGTCCCGCTTATGCAATTATAATAATCACCGTTGGAGGCCCAACATGGCAATATGCCCCAGTGGAGAAAGAAAACAAAAACCAAACAATAATTCTGGAGAATTTATATATTATGCCAAAATTCATTAGTTGGTACTTATATTTTTTGTTATTTAATCCTTAATATTTTCTAACGTCAAATGTTGAGTCCTTCTGTCTATTTTTTTCTTTACTTCTGAATTAAAAAAAGCATTGTGAAAAGATGAAGATACTTTTATGTACCCATAAGTTCAGTTAAATATAAATTGGTGGACAATTTATTTTTTGTATTCGGTTGACACCGCAATTGTTCTAAATTCATTGGACTAAGTTTAATTCTACTCGCATTACGGATCAACAAGAGCATATGCTCACAGCAGTTACAAGACAAACTAATAAATTTTAGGATAATGTAGAAATGTTATAATAATATTTTTCAATAATTTTTTAATCCAGTCAAAATAACACCCTTTAATCAAGTTTAAAAGGTATGCAAGTAAGATTTTTCGATAATACTGATTGTTGGATTTAAACTTCTGAATATACAAATAAAATACATTTGAGAAAGCACTTCATTCAACTGTAATTTTTTTTTATCCTACTTATCGATAATCATTACCAACTACAGTAATTACAAGCAGTTAAATCCTAATAATTTAAAGTTTATATAATCGCTTAATCTAGTAAATACAATATGAAACAACCAAATTATCTCTTTTTTCAAAAAAAATTTCCTTTAGGAGAAAATTTTCAAAATCAGTAGAGGCAGGATCTTGAAAGGTCGAATCAAACATGGCTGCAAGTGGGTCAGCCCACTTAGAGTAGAAAATATAAAATCTTTAGGAGCTTTCAAACGAAGCAAAAACAAGGCTGCAGATATGGAAATTGACTGTTATACAGCCATGGACCGTATTTGGTGCACTTGCAATTTGCAGCAAATTGCATGTTTCGGTGGCTACTAATATATTATTTTTTAACGTCTACTTGCAAAGTTTGGACCGTCCGCTTCCCATTAGACCCAATTTGACTGAACACGGTCGCACCGTCGGCTTCACCTTGTGGTTCTATGAATCTGAACTCACGTGGTCTTATCCATTAACCGACAAATTAGGATCGCACTGTTTTTATCCTCCCTTTGCTCATCAAAATTTGACAGTTTGGCGGCGATTCAGATTTTTTTCTGTTCAAAATTCTTTTTTTTTTCCCCTTCCACTCAAAGCTATTTTAATGGAGTCAAATGTCTAACAGTTGTTTTTTGAAAGTAGATATTAATAGTTGTTCAAACTATTAAACTTTATTATTATATGGTTGAAGTAAACTAATAAAGCGGCTCAAGAAAAAAATCTAGCCCATTACAGTTATTTATTTAATAAAAAAATACTTGCTTATTGTCATTGTACATCAACTGTAACAATAATCAACAGGGTTAATTTACATGCAAAGGACTTAAGTCCCTTAAATAGAGATAAATATTTAATGGGTAATTTGAATAACATTTTTAACCGAAATAAAATAAATTAATTTTTTAATCGAATTTAATCAAATCGTTTTGACCAAATTAATTTTGACTATAAGTTAAAGAAAATGAAAATTTAATTAACTGACTGAATTTAATAAAAATTTATGATTAACTGACTTTAATCGAAATAAAAACTAACTAAAATTATTAATCACTAGTTAATCCAAATAAAATTAATATTTTTTAATTTTTAATTTTATTATCTAATTAATCAAAACGATATAGTTTTGAAAGTCGATTAATTTGATTAATTCGGTTAAATTAACTTTGCACCGATCACCGAAAATCTAATTTTTTTTAATCAAACATTTATTCATCGAATTGAATTGCTCAAATTAGCTGAACCAAATGCTCAACCTACCCTTAAATAAGAGACCAAATGTTTGATCATTGTAAATAAAGGCAACCCATTGCAAGTCTTTTCTCCTTATGAATTGGGATACAATAAAATTTTAAATTCGAATAAATTCAGAGTGGAGCGCTTAAAATACTAAAGAAACTCTCTTTGATCATACTTAGTTTTGAATTGTATTATATCAAATCCGATAGAATCAAAGTATTTCGCCATCTTTAAATTTTCAATTGACATGCATTTAAAAAATTTTGGCATTGTCTTTATCTAATAAACAAAAATACTAATCATATCTCCTCAACTTGATGTACTATTTGATATGCACAACATCTCCTTCGATTAAGGAAAAAACAAATACTATCATGAGACTGCAGAGAAAATCATTTTATGTAGAATTTTTGTTAATAATGGTACTATCACACCTGTGAAAGAAATGTGTTGAAAGCTCCCATGTCAAGTAAATAGAAAGCATCCTAACTAAGAATTTAGAAAATCCAAGAAACGTGACCCATGAAAGGAAAAAGGGATGCCATTAGATTCAGCAAAGAACACCCACCTAATAAGTTAAGTAACACTCTAAAACAACACTATCACACAAAGGAATTGCCAAATCCCAAGGAAAGTGAAAGCCCCAATTCTCACCATATAAAAAATCCCATTTCTACTTGCATCTCTCTCTGGTCCCACAATATTATGTACTGTGTTGTGTTCACTTGACGTGATGCGAGACTTGCAGCTTCAACTTGCTCTCTGCCCCTTTATTGTTACCTTTTACTACCACCTAAAGATAGTTAGGAAGGCACGTGACTCCAGCTTTGGAATTTGGACTATAACCACCCATTATAACTTCCGCCCACCATTTTATATTCTCATTTTAATCCAATTTAGTATTGAAAAAATCAATACGTATGTATTTTCTTTATGTTTAAGCAAGAGTAAAATAATATGGTTGGGACCCAAAAGCGGTAGCAACTGGGCAACCATGACATGAGCATTACATTAGATATAAAATTGATAAAAATGGATTACCATTACTACAACTTTTATATATTCTTACGGAGAACGTGCCAACATGTGATGGCTAAGGTTGGCAGGCGGACCATGAACATGAACATGAACATGGTATATAATATACTGATAAACCAAATTTCATGCACAAGTTGGCCAATGTCATGTCTTAAATTTAGAAACTTGGAATTTGTTATCTTTTTCGCTGGAAAAGAGGGTTATTTGAATCTTACCAAATTTCTGTAATTTCTTGATGGCTGTTAAAGACATTAATACATGCTTTTTTTAGCTACGTCTAGGTGCAAGATTTTCTTGGGAGTTTGGACCTTCCTTCTTCTTTTCTGACCTTCCTTCTTCTTTTCTTTATTTTTTCAAATTTTCCCATCAAAATGAAATCTGAAAATTACTATAAATTATTTAATGGAAGTTTCTCCAATGGAGACAAAAGAAGAAAAGATGATTGGTATAGAATAGGAAGTATCTTAGCAGAGGACCCAGTGTATACGTGGAGAAGAGTGGTTGGTTGGATATGAAGCAATGGAAGTTTCCTCTCTATTACTATTTCTTTCTAGCTATGTTGAAGGAAAACAATTCCTATATATAAAAAGAAAGAAAAAAGGAAATTCATAATAGTTCTACCACATTGTGTGTGGATATATATAAACAAATAAATAGAGAGTGAGCTGTGAACAACTATGAAAGAAATGAGGAATAGCATATGTTTTATGTAAGTAGAAACTTCTTGGCTAATGGATAGGATCAAAAGAATAAGATTTCTTTTGATCTGAAAAGATATTTGTATGACCTGTTCTTACCATGTAATCAACCACTCCTTGCAAAAACAACTTGTTCTTGCTGCTTCTTACTCCATAACTATGAATTCCCAATTATTTCAATTCGCAAGATTCCAGATAGTGTTTGAATTAATCTATAATTTTCATAATTATTTATATAATACCCACTAAAATACGTGTATTTACATACATAAATTGAATGTATAGGCTAATTAATTTTGGGAATAATACCCGAATTTGATGGGGGAAAAAATGTTGAAAATGATATTGCATTGCCAACTTCACATTAAACACGCGTTTGGTGTTTGCGTCCAAAGACAGCTACAACATGTATATATATAAGAAACACTCAGATTCTAGACATGAGTTAGGAAAGAATAGTTAATTAATCATTCATATCTTTTTTCTGCTACTTCAAGTCACAATTAAAAAAATGCTTACCACCCTACAAATACACGTTGTTAGAATAGTGTATGTCAAGGTTAAAAAATTGCTATTTGCTATTTTGGATCAAATTCATTATTTACATATTTTTCACATTTCAGATTTTTGTTTTAAAAATTGTATATTCCAAGTTGTTCAATTCTTCAAATAATTGAACAACTTACATCTACTCTCTAATTGTCTGCCGACAAGTCAAGAAATCATCATAAATTTTTTAAGAAATCTCAACAGTTTTGTTATGATTATTTAATTTACATGTTCACATTTTAAACATATTTATGTTTGTTATTTGTAACATTATAATTTATGTTCATGTAATAAAAATTGTGCCTCTGTTTTAATATTATTATCACTTGTATTTTCTTTTTCACCAAATGCTGCTAATATAATATAAATGACATCTATTTACACGCGGACCACGTGGGTATTTTGAAATTAATGTAAAAGTGATAATTTTACGTTTTAAATGCTTGATTTAGTAGATAAAGTTTGACTAAAGATATAGTCTAGTGTCAATAATTCGATTATTTTATATATCATTTTATTTCTATCGCGTGTTAATACTCAATTATTACATATATTATAAAAATTATATAAAATTCACAAAATAAAATAAAAAAAATCAACTTCAAAATCTTTTGCCACAAAACCGAATCCACCTTAATGTTAATATTCTAATTAATGTTGGGCAATTCAAGAGAATCTAATTTTTTTCTTATTGCCAAAGGATGATTTAAGAAAGAAAATTACAAAATCTTATAATTAAGGAAAAACATAATCCCTATTCCTAACCGTGTATCGTATAGCCAAGCCAAGCAAACTGTAAACGTGTGTGTACAAACCAACACGCGTAGGCGTAGATCAACGGTAAGAATCCACCGAATCGAAAGAAAGGATCAACCATATCCACATACTCTATCACGGACACGTTTTTAAACAGCGCCTACCCGTTTTCTTTTTTCCATATTTTAATTTCTTAAATTGAAAATTAGGAAAAAAATTCACAAATATACAAAATTTTTGAGTGCCGAAAATAAATTCCTTGCCTATCACGTGCATTAAATGTATACCGACATTTAATATTCAAAGAACTGCCAGAAAATCCTCTCTATATATAAATTGGGTTTGCTTGTGGGTTTTACCACTAGTTCGTTGTGACTTGCTACCTCTGTTCTCTCTTCCTTTGCCTCAAAGAAAGGGAAAAAACAAATTCTACAAATTTCACTCAAAAACCCATCGAGAAAGAAACCAGTTCTTGCTCCAATGGATTGGATTCGAGGTGAGTCGCTTGGTTGTGGTAGTTTTTCTTCTGTCAATTTAGCCATACCCAGAAAAAACTCCGCTCCATTAATGGCTGTGAAATCTTGCGATCTTTTTGACTCTGTTTTGCTCGAGAATGAGAAGGAAGTGTTATTGCATCTTGGGAAGTGCGAGAATGTGATTCAGTGTCTTGGGAGTGATCAAAGTGTTGAAAACGGTGAAAAGTTTTATAATTTGCTGTTAGAGTATGCTTCTGGCGGCAGTTTAGCTAAACTTGTAAAGAATTCCGGCGGTTGTTTACCGGAATCGGAGATTAAACGTTTCACAAGATCGATACTAAAGGGTCTTCGTGATATTCACGCAAAAGGGTTTGTTCACTGCGACATAAAGCTTCAGAATTTATTGTTGTTTGATAATGGTGAAGTGAAAATTGCGGATTTTGGATTAGCCACAAAAACAGGGGAAAAATCGGGGAGAATGGAAATTCGAGGAACTCCTCTGTATATGTCGCCGGAATCAGTCAACGAGAATGAGTATAATTCACCATGTGATATTTGGGCTCTTGGGTGTGCTTTGGTTGAGATGGCGACGGGAAAACCGGCGTGGAATTGCAAGAAAGAAACCAACGTAGCAGCTTTGTTGATTCGAATTGGATTAGGAGATGAATTGCCAGAAATTCCTCAAGAATTGTCTAAAGAAGGAAAAGATTTTCTATCGAAGTGTTTTATTAGAGATCCTAAGTCAAGATGGACGGCTGAGATGTTATTAGATCATTCTTTTGTTGCTGATGACATTAACAACTGTACTGTTACATTGAAGAACAGAGAAGAAGAAGAAGAATCACCGAGATGTCCTTTTGAATTTCCAGAATGGAATTCATTTCCATCTTCTACACCAAAATCTGAATTATGGTCTCATGGAGAAGCAGAATCAAGAATTGATTGGTCTAATTTGACCTGTTCATCTTCGCTGGCGGATAGAATCCGGCAACTACAGAGTGATCAGTGTTGCAATTGGTCCTTCTCTGAAAGTTGGGTCACTGTTAGGTGATAAAACAGAGCAGCAGTAATTTCAGGACATTTTTTTAATTCAATTATTCAGATTCCATTTTTTGTAATGGGTGATGATTTTTTGGAATTGTAAATGACTAGGAAACAATTAGAGGGTAACAAAATATCTAGCAGACTAACTTTAGATGATTGTACAGTGGAAGAGTGTATAGAACATTTTTTAACAGAGTAAAATAATTTTCTTTTCCAAGAAAGGTCATACTTGCAGAAATCTTTTCTTCTTTTAATGAAATTGCTTAATTTTTCATTTTTTTTTTTTTTTACAGGCATAGAACAGAGTGCATGGTGGTATGTTGGATATTTATGATTATGTATAAATTAAGGCATTAAACCCTACAAAAAGTCTCTCCCCTGTTTTTATGGTTATATATGTGTTCCTAAGAGTAAACTCTATTGATTGGATTATTTACTATAATTAGAAGAAAGTTTTTCTTAGTATAATTAATAACAGCATGCTTGAATGAGAAATTGGTTTGTGATTTTTTTAATTAATTGCAAGGACCAACTTGGAGGATCTGAAAAGTAGGGAAACATCCTTGAAATATTCTCTGGATTCCTTGCCATAACTTCTTCAACAGTCATTCTTGATAAGTTTGGTGCAATTGCTACCTAAAAAGATAATACTACAATCCAAGCAGATCCTTTTACAATTATAATTTTTGAAATACATTATAAATTTTATCAGGAAGCCAAAACTCATTTAAGGGCAACTCAGCGTAATAAAAACAGAGAGATCCAAATTGATTGAAAATGTAAAAAAGATAATTGCCTTCTCTTTGGAGAGTAAAATCACCGTTAATTGCTTGAAGCATGTTGTCGTCATTAACTAATAATTAACAATGATGGTACCAAATATCTTTCATGAGGATGATCACACTTAGCGGATGCTATCAATTTCGATTTTCTTTCATCACCTTATTTATGGATTTGATATCTTTCATCATTTCCTTTTTCTTTTCTACATAAACTATCAGAAGAATAATTAGACTTATGGTGTTAATTGATTTAAATATATTATATTAAATTTATTTTTCCAATCTAATTAAGATAAACCAGTAATTACACATTTTCTGCACTATTTTGAAATATTAAAACTTATGGTTCATATTTCTTGCTAACAGTTTTTATAATAGTGAGAATACAAGTTTGATTTTCGATGAGCTTACTTATTCTGAGAACAAAAAAATCACTAAGTTATAAATTTTTTAACCAATATGATTGTTATTGGGAAGCATGCCATTATCAATCAATAGACAAGCTAAATAATTAGGATTAGTGTTAGGTTAAGGATATGAATTGTGTAATAAAATATTAGAGACATGAGCTTCTCATGTGATATTTATATAAAACACCAATATCAATATTGCTTTAAAATCATGTGATTTATGGGTTGGTGGAAAAGGTTTACAATGCACCCAACTTCACATGATCCGGGTCCATCCAATGCATCATCCTTGTTTAACCATTAAGAGTAATTTTCACTTTGAAAATTTTGCAACCCTATTATTTTGAAGTTTGGTTATATTGCTTTTACTTGGAAGTTTGTTTGGATCCTTTTCTAGTCATCTCATAGGTCATTTGATACCAAAATTTCCTCATTTTAGCATGTGGGGAATATACCCAATTTTGTTTGACACCTTTGATTGAATGTATGCAATGTATATATATACATGCCTAATTCCAAGTTAGATGTGAAATATAAATATAAATTGTATTGTTTCTTGCATCATAAATATCATGTGATAAGGAGAAATAAATATTTTAAATTTATAAACACATGCATTGTATTTGAATTTCTGACCACATATAACTATTACATTTAATTAGGACCATATTTGAAATGTGCTTAAATAAATATCCTTGCATTAACTCGTAGTAGGTGCAAGTGAATTGTTTCTCATATTAGCATCAAACATCATTGTTTTCTAACTAAAACAAGTCTAATTAATGTGTGTATAATCTTGTTAGAAAAATTTGATATTAATTTGAGAATTACAATTTTAGCCCTTAAAATTAGCATAAAACTCAATTTCATGTTAAGTCTTACAATATTTATCAAGTTTTATTTAGACATTTACCATCGGATAAAATTCACTAACTCGGATTTTAGAACAAACCCACAAATAAAAAAAAAAAAAAACATTGAGATAAAATCACTTGAATATGTAATAAACTAAAGTCATGTGGGCTCAAGGCTAAGGCTCCGTTTGTTTCAGTAAAATAACTTACAGAAAAATGTTTTCTACAATTTTCCATTATTTGGTGCGCTCAAAAAAATAAGTCAACAGAAAATATTTTTCTGATTAAAGAAAAATTAAGTCATTTTTTTAAGGAAAACAACTTCTCATTTTTTAGAGAGTAAAACATTTTTTAGATATTGACAAACCGTATAAATCCATATTTTTTAATTTATTAATCATCATAGTCACTACTACCGGTCATCATTTCCCACCGACCACCACAGGCCACCGACGGCTTTCATAATTTATATATTTTTTTTGCATTATTTTCATATTTAATAATAAAAATTTTAAATTATAAAATTTCTATTATTATTAATATTTTTTATGGTCTTACGAGATACAGATAAAACTTTAATATTTTTTTTAACTAATTTTTTAATATTTTTTAACTAATTTTCAATATTACAACTAAACAACAGAAAATAAGTCATTTGAAAAATATTTTTCATAAAAATATTTTTCAGCAAATTGTTTTATGAAAACAAACAGAATCTAAATATAACAAAGATTGAAAGAGCGTCCGCTTTAATGCTATGTAGAATATTGAAATGTAACAATATTGAAAACAACTGAATACATACGAATATCAGTATGCTCCCATACTATGTTAGAAAGGTTAAATATAAATTTGAAACATTTACATCTCATAATTAATTCGTTGGAAAACATAATTTTTTTAAAAAAAATTTATACTAATATATATTTAATTTATGTAAGATTGTATCCCACACCATATATCTTAACAAATCTCATGACAATAGCACATCGTACCAACTAATGAAATTTGATTTAATAATACTCAAATAGTACTTTCAACTATATGGTTAAGACTTCAAATCTTAAAACCAAATCTACCCTAATCAAAAGTTTAGTGCTATGGTTGCATAAAACTAAAACAATCAAAATAATCTTAAACTATTACAAGCAATCGAGCAAAGGATTTTAATTAAACCCACCGACGAATCCAAAATCTAGATTTGATGCATGATTTCAATTTTTCATGGGGTCCAAGTCCTGCCCATAAGCCAGATATGCTTCTCCAAGAGGTTCCCTTCTCCCTTCACCCCACAAGATCTTTTGTCTCCTTTTGTTAGCACTTACATAATTTTTTTTTTTTGAAAATGTCATAATTGAATTTTTATATATATGTATATATATATTTCTTAAGAAAAAAAAAAAAAAAAAAAAAAAAAAAAAAAAAGAACACATCCCTTTTGTTTCCTTCTCATTAAATAAATAATTACTTTTAAATAATTGGCGTTTACTGATAATTGCACTTGTTCTTAAGTGAAATTGGGACATTCATTTTTTTAGGGTCTATGACCACCAAGCATTCAACCCTCTTATGGAATTTGGGTTTAACCAACTTACCTAAAACATAAGCTCTTGATCGAACCGTGAAATTGAGTGTCAATGGTACTGGTTGAGTTGGTGCACCATTCAAACTTCCCAGGTTAGCTCCCCCACCATATAACGGGATTTTATTCCCCTTTACCATCACTGTTACTGATCTTTGACTCTTTCTTGATTGATAGAATTTTCTCATCTGCCAAACACAGTTTTACAAATTTCACTTCTAAATTCCAATAAAATAAAAGAAATATCAACATATTACTTGAATTATCAAATTATCAAATCCTTTCTTTATTTTGTTTTTATTTTTCACCACACTCTTATCTTTCTAAATTTGGTAATTAAGGCTCTTTATTATCTTTCTGAATTTATAAATTAAGTCTCTTTATTATTTTTCCAATTTATTTTAGTTCTTGAAAGCTAATTTATACTCTCTCTTTGTCCTAGTTTTTCTTTTTTCATCCATTCTAAATTGTTGTCAATTTTTTAAAAAATAAATAATATTTTGATGTTTATTATTTTTCCTTTATTTAATATGCTTATTTATCAACAAATATAATATTCAAAGTACTATATTATCATTATTTTTAATTATCTTTCAAGAAAACTTTATTTAATCAAATATTTGATAATGATTTAATTAATTTTAAGAACCATTCAATATTAATGGATATTAACATAAGGGTATATTAGAGAAAAAATAAGGCAAAAATTATAGTTTAACTATATTAACTAAAATTCCTTAATATGTATAAAGGTCAAACCGAGACAAAAATTATGGGGCGGAGAATGAGTCTTTAACCTGCTATAAATTTCTTCATTATTTCTTATTAGTAATTAATTTAAAATTCATGAATTTTTTTTTTCTTTTGTTATTATATTTGTATTTTAAAAATTTTCTAAATTCTCAATAATTTTTTTTTCTCGATAAAAGTGCTCATAGCACCAATACTATGAGCGAAACCGGATCAAAATTAGCCAGAACTAAAATCTGTCACGAGTTGGTTAAAGTCCCTTTTATGAGGAATTTCAACCTTGGTTTCGCTAAACTGCCCATATGCCCGTATTGATATTATCACTATTTCTTCCTTTTTTTTTTTCGTTTTTGAAACAACCATTATTTCTAATTTGTTATCTACATAATATTCCAGTTTGTGTGTTGCTAGGCTTCATGGGCCCAAAGCCCATGTGAAGCCTAAAAGCATTTAAAGGGTGCTCATCTTCTTTTTAAATTTCTAATAAATACTAAATAAACTGTCTATATAAATAAGATTAAATATAATAAAAAATATTTTTATTAAACTTAATTTTATATAAACAAATTTTTTTTTTTTTTTTGACATAGACACAAACTTGCAGGGAACTTAAAGTTATTAGTAAAATCAATTCAGTTTGATTCTTATAAAATCAAAATAACTGAATTTTTTTTAGTTAGATTAACCATATTGAATTTTAACAAGAACTAAATCGAATTGAAATGAAATTCTACTAAAAAGTCAAACTGAAATAATTAAAATTTCTATTACAAACATATAACATATGTATGTATATATAAATGTATTTAAAATAGTTTTTACATTAAATTTATATAAAAATATATCTAATTCAGTTGATTATTTTTTATAAAAATAAATCAAACTAAAATAGTCCAATTTAACAAAAACTGAAAATTATATAATTTTTTTAAAAATTTTTTGAATACTGAAGAAAATTTAAACCTAATAACACCAATTTCTCATTTGTCCTGTAATGCAAATAAATAAATAAGAATACAGAATTGCTTACAGTTCCAGTAGCTAAAGTGAGTTGAGAATAAGATAGATCCAAAGGTGTTGCAGTTACATGAACTCCAAAAAACGTTGCCGTATTACGAAATGTAAGCTTCACGGAGCAGTTCATAGACACCATTTCTGTTGCCACTCCTGAGAAATCCGCACCCGCTTGTACTATAAATTGATCAAAAACAATAGTCTGCAACCAAACAACCCATAACCAAATTTAATTAGTATTTTCGTTCATAATTCCATTTAGAGTTAATTAAATTATTAATTACCTTCATGGTGACGGTGGGTTTTTGAGGACGACTTGCACCCCAAATAATTAACGAAAACAAAGAGAAAAGTATAAAAAATCCCAAAACAAAAGCGAGAAAATAACAACGACGACGCATTCCATGTGGACCAATATCTCCATCGAGAAGACCTTCTTCTTCAATGGCGTCAAACGCCTTCCATGGCTTCCGGCTGACTTTCCGTTCGCTGGTTTTGCGGTGGGGTTTGAGAGACCCAGAGAATCGTGTAGAAGAAGATTCGCGAGAGTGTGGCCCCAAAGAAGAGTTGGAATGGGAATGTGGAGGGGAGCCGGCCGGACTGAGCACAGGAGTAGAGTGGAATGAGTTTGTCGTTTTCTCGCCGTCATGAGAGTCTCTAGATGGGCTTTGCACGTAGTATACAGGGCGGCGAGGCGTTGATGATGATCTTGTCGGAGATGAGTGAGTTAAGCTGCTTACTTCTGAGTCAGTCTTGGAGAGATGCGTTGACATTGTCGTTTTGATGAGTCGTTAATGTAATAAAAATGGTAATAAACAGAGTTTCAGGAGATGGGGAAGTGAAGAGGAAGAGTGAGTGAGAGCGTTTGTAGGATCTCTAGAAACGTAGGTTATGGAGGAGCACGTTGTTATATGTTTTGTTTAATGAAATCGAAGTGTTGATTATGAACGCAATTAATAGAGGGGATGGTGGACTTTGCAGTAACTAGCTGGAATTGTCTACTTGATGTTTTTTATTGAATAATTTTTCAGTTCAGCTCTTATTTATAAACTAGAATTTATGGCACACTCACTATATTTATTTATGTTAGTAAAAAAAAAAATCCATAATTTGCTATTTGGAATAAATGGATTTCATAAAGTTTTATGAAATTTATTTATAAATCTAAATTTTTTTGTTTGGAATGAAAAACAATAAAGAATTCAATTTTAGGAATTTAATTATGTTGTGTATTTGAATATATCTAAATCAAATTCTATCAAAGAAAGTAAAATTTCCAAATGAATTCCATAAACTTAAATAATCTAAAACTTCATGACAAAATTATTCATGACCTTTTTAAAGTTATTGTGCTAAGGATATTTTTGAAAATCAAATAAATTTTAAATATTAAATTTATTCCAAATATAAAAAATTTATTTATAAATGAATTCATCTACAATTTATAAATTCTATATTTTGAATACATTTATTATTAAATGGATGGTAACCGTTAGTCTCAAGTTTAATATCTTTTTATATTTTAATTACAAATTATATTTGTAATTATAATATCTGATTTCAAACAATTGGTCTTGGTTAAGTATGGGTTTTTTATTTTTTTATTTTTTTTCCAATCCATTTTATCACAAAAATTTGCATTTACCATTAATTGAAGATTTGGGAAACAAAGAAAAAAAAGGGAAGAACCTTTTAATTAATGCATGTGGAGCATGCAGATCCAACGCCCTGGTGAAGCAAAGAGAAAAAAGAAAATCCATCTCATGATTTCCGAGACCCATCCCATTTAAAAGAAAAGACAAGAAAAATACAAGATCTAACACGCTGAATCTCAATCAAATTGTGGGCATGGACTACGTACTTGCGGACCCTTTCCCCTTATTTTATTCATTATCACTATACTTTTGTTTTCATTCACTTGCCTCTGAGTAACAAGTGGTAAGGATGATGTTCTAAAACGGTTTGGTCTCTGATCGGATCCATGGAACCGTTTCACCTCTTCAAAGAGGTAAAATGGAAATGAAAATGGAGAAAGGGAATCAGCTGAACAGATGCACTTTCATTAGCGTTTTTTTAGGTAATTTTTTGGAAATTTTCCCTTAGGTTATGGCCTGACCATTCACTGCCAATTTTTGTCAAAGGTCCGGAATAATCCGATAGGCGAAATTTAGAGTTTGAGACAGCCTGTGATCCTGCTAGGTTCCAAAATTTGCACTCAAGGATTCAAAATATATAATAGTTGTTGGCATGGGCGATCGGATTCAAGATTACGTCTGGACATGACATCGATCAGTACCGCATTTAGATTTCCACGTTTTGCAAATCTTGCTTGAACCAAATCCTTGTACTATGTAATAGTTATGTTATGATTCCGTATGTTCGTGCGCCCACGTGTCAGTTGGGACTGAAAAATCTTACTATATGATAGATGAGCTAAATTCAATTAACGTGTTGTATTTTTGTGGATGACTAGATGTTTGTAAATTAGAATTTATAAGGATCCTAAAATAGTAAATGTACTCCTAGCAAGCAGCATCAACCTTTAACTTATGTTTAAACTTGTAATATGGAAAGTTATAAATCCTATGCCACATATTGTATATATGTATATATTGTCAGGAAATTAGCTTAAGTTTAGAATTTGCAATCAATTATTCCACTCAATTTACAAAAATAAAAACATAAACATGACCGAGTATATGTCACGGTTCATTAAATGTGAATCCTTAACTGAACATTACATATTTTAAAATGATTATGTTATATTAATAAAATTATAGCTATATTTATATAATCTACTTAATCTATCAACAGTTATTTTAAATTAATTTATGAAGTTTTGTATTTTGTAAATATTGCTTTAGATTTACACAGGTTTGTCAACAATCAGGAAAGAGCCATTTAGAAAATAGCTACACAACCGTGCAAGATTTTTTCAAGATCTAAATCTTCTTTTTTCTTTATTTTTTGTACTTTTACCCATGTTAGGTTGCTTTACAAATTCTTTGAGGCCTTTTATCAAACAGGTGCCGCGCAAAGAGCCATAGCTGATAATCGTTAATGCTTGATTATGATTTTGTATCATTGATAATGAGCAGGATTTTGTGTATTGAGTTTTCCTTAATCATGCCATAGGAAGAGAGCATGAAGGAAGAATAAAGAACATCAAATTGACCAAAAAAAAAAAATTGCAAGACATCCTTTCAAAACGACAAAACACGCTTTAAAGCAAACCCAATGTCCTGTCGTTCATCTCTTTCAGGTAATTAGTAAGTTTTGAGAGCAACCAGAAATCCAAAGGCGCTTGAAAGCCTACCTGTCAAACCCACCCAAAGGCAGCCCAAACCCAAAATGGCCCATTGGATGAGTAACTTACGACGTCGTGTTTGTTATCCAATTTATAAATTTTTTTTTCTCTCTTCCCTAGAATAGAAAAAAAAAAAATGATTGTGATCTTTTTTTTCTTTTAAGAAAAAATATATCAATTATTATGAATGCAATGGCATTATATCTTTGAGAAAATAGAAACTTTTTAGCATTAAAATTTGAAAATTTTAAATTATGTCTTTCCGTAATTTTCCTTTTTTTATTTAAAAGATTTTAATTATTTTATATAATAATTTAGTTCACATAAATATTCAAAAAAATAAAATTAGAGACATGCTCCAACATAACAAGGAAAGTAAACATATATATGTTTTATGAAAATTGAAATTTCTAAACAAATAAATACTCGTGAATGCAAAATAAAATCCAGTAAAGATAAAACAAATTAAACTCTTATTAAACAGAATATTAATACTTGTTGTGGGGTCCCTCCTACATGTGGACCCACAAAAATTTGAAAAGAAAAAAAATAGAAAAAAAAAAAGATTAAACACGTTTTTATTTATTTTTCAAAGGTTGGCAGCCAACCATTTGAATGGTTGGCATGCCATTTGACAAATGAGTGCCGTGCATTGGTAATGCACGGCTCTCTCCCTCTCAACCTTCTCCTATAAATAGGAGAAGGATTCTCCTTAATCAGACGTATAAAAACAAAAACATAAAAACAAAGAAAAATTTTAGGAAAAGGGTTCCTAAAATTAGGAAAGAGAGAAAATAGTGAGGATTGTAATTTTTGGGGTGTTTTTATTACACTTAGAGTGCCACTATTTTTTGTAATCTTTTGTACCTACTATTTTTAGTGGAAGAATTAGTCGGAGTTTTTGTTTCGTAGACGTAGCCCATAACAGTTGAAGGGTGAACCATGTAAATCTCGGTGTCCTTATTTTAATTTTTACCCTGGTATTTACGGTAATTATTTAATTTTTACCGTGGTTATTATTTCTGGTAGATTCGATCGTCAGTATCCAATACATAATTATTGGAGCATTTTTTCCACAGGCCCCACTCGGGATCAGTTATAAACCCAACAAGTTTCCCTATTGTGTTATTTGCTTAACAAGTTAATAATATAAATTGCACAAAGTGGGGATCAGAGGAAATTTAGAACAACTCGGGGAGCACCATATGGCTGGGAATCAAATTGTAACACCATTATTAGCTGAGATATTTGTCTTGGAATCAGTTAAGCTGAGGAATCAGGAAGAGGTTAAAAGGTAACAGTGCAAAGCCGAAGGAAATGAAAGAAAGGCAGTGGGATAAATTAAAAAAGCAAACATTGGGTACAATACGCCAATGGATAGATGCTAGCCTGTACAATCACGTGAGAAATGAAAAAGATCCCCAAGTTCTCTGAAAGAAATTAAAGGCAGTGGGAGAAATTAAAAATGCAGACATTGGGTACAATACGCCAATGGATAGATGCTAGCCTGTACAATCACGTGAGAAATGAAAAAGTCTTCATGATTCGTAAAGTCGTGAACTTGAAGCTGTTAGAGGGACGATCAATTACACAACACCTAAACGATTTTGAAGGACTCATAACTAAGTTAGCAGTTAGTGGTATGTCCTTAGATGACGAGATGCAAGCATGTCTACTGTTGGGATCTCTACCGGATAGTTGGGATACTATTGTGGTATCATTGAGTAACTCAGCTCCAAATGGTGTGGTAATAATGTCTATGGTCAAGAATAGACTACTCAATGAAGAACTACGAAGAAGAGATGTTGCCAATACCAGTTCACAAGCCCTCCAGTTCACAAGCCCTTGTTCACAGAAGAAATAGGGGCTGGACGCAAGAGTAGAAGTCCCAAGGCATTGTAAAGTCAGGTGGTAGATCCAAGTCCAGAGAGATGAAGAAAATGTTTTACCAATTGGCGGTAAGGAGGGTCATCTAAAAGAAAATTGTCGTTTAAGCGTCAAAAACAGGATACTACAGGACCGAAACAGGAGAATGACAGAAATAACATCTGCTACATTTCTCCAGGAGGAAGATGGTGAGGTAACTTTAGCACTCATGAAATGCAGATTGCTGTCATGTTGGAGGATGCAGACCGAGTGGAATAGTAGACTCCGGTGCTTCATACCACTGTGTTCAAAAAGGGAATACTTTTCCACTTATAAAGCAGAAGACTTTGGCACTATTAAAATGGGAAATAATAGTGTCCTACGCAAGTGGTGGGAATTCGGTGAATCTGCATAAAGACAAGTGTCGGGTGCAAATACACTTAAAAAAATGTGCGACATATTCCTGATCTTCGTTGAAACCCCCAACCCTTTTGTTTTCCCTGTGAGTGTACTGGACAAGGAAGGCTAATCAACCATCACTACAGGTGGCGGGTAATTGGAAACCTCACCAAAGGGTCTTTGTGGTGGCGAGAGGAAAATATGTTGCTCGCTGTATAAGAACACGCAATAATTTGTGCGAGTCAACTGAATACAAGTTAAAGATGATGCTTGCAACCAAAATTTGTGGCATAGGCGGCTGGCGCACGTTAGTGAGAAAAGGGTTGAATATGTTTGGCTAATAAGTCCCTCATAACCCATTAGCCAAGGAAAATAAACCCCTTGTGGATTATTGTCCGTTTGGGAAGCAACATCGGGTCCCTCATTTTGAAAAAGCCTAGAAGGAGAGACAACAAGTGGAGTGGTAACAGGGCTCTGACGTAATGGTGGTCCCTGGAGGTAGGGATAACTTGGAGGAAGTAGGTATTTTCTTAAACCTTCAATTGATGATTTTCTCATGGAACATGGATATATTGTTGGCGCACAAAAGCCAAGTAGTAAAGCACTTTCATTCAAGCACTTTCAGCAATTCCATGCTATGGTGGAAAGGGAGACTGGAGTGGCATTGAAGTGTTTGCGCACGGATAATGGTGGTGAGTATATCTCTAACGAGTTTAGAGATTATTGTAGTCAGCACGGTATCAGGCATGAAAAGACAGTCCCTAGTACGCCTCAATACAACGACATTGCTGAATGGATGAATCGCACCATTATTGAGAGAGTCAGATCCATGCTCAAAGTGGCCAATTTACCTAAGCCATTTTGGGGAGAAGCTGTCAATACTGCTGTCTACCTAATCAATTGACTACCTTCAGCACCATTGGATTTTGATATTCCGGAGAAGGTCTGGATAGGTAGAAATATTCATACTCTCACTGAGGGGTAATTTGGCTGAAGGAAATTTATGCCATGTTCCAAAGGTATATATATAGATGCTTGATGACAAGTCAGTTCCCCTTGCACTTTTGTTGGTTATGGAGACGAAGAGGTTTGGCTACAGGTTATGGACCCAGTGAAAAAGAAAGTTGTCCGGAAGCCGAGAACGTAGTATTTCCACGAGAAGAGATCGTGGGAAGATACAACTGTGAAAGAATCCACAAGTGATGGGTGTTATTGAATTACACCAAGGAAGCATTCCTAAGCATTCCTACAGATGATGCCACAGGAGGAGGAATGCCAGAATCAGAACAAGAAGAAGAAGAAGAGCCAGTCGTAGGGGATCAAGAGACAATTGTAGAAGATAACAGTGATGCAGAGGGTGTTGAGCAGGGGGAGCCAGAGAACCCATTACACCAGAAGGAGTTGAACCTCAGTTAAGAAGGTCAACTAGAGAGCGCCAACCATCTACAAGGTACCTTAGTTCTGATTACATTTTAATTTCTAATGAGGGGGAGCCAGAGAGCTTCCAAGATGTGCAATCTTGCAAAGATAAAGATTGCTGGAGAAAGGCCATGCAAGAAGATGCAAGAAAGAGATGAATTCTTTGAAAAAAGAAATGACACGTATGAAGCTGGTGAAAGGACTTCCAAAAGGGAGAGAAACTACTCAAGAACAAATGGGTGTATAAATTGAAGAAAGATGAAATGGCAACTTATGAGATACAAAGCTCGATAGGTCGTCAAGCGCCTTTACTCAAAAGAAAGGTGTATTGACTTTGATGAGATTTTTTTCACCAAGTTTGCGAAAATGAGTTTCCATTCGGTTGTGCTAAAGGTCTACGGGTAGCCAGTTGAAAATCTTGAGTTAGAAGCAGCTTGAATGTAAAGACAGCCATTCTTGCATAGGGGATCTAGAGAAGAAATTCTATATGACAACCAGAAGGATTCAAAGGTCAAGGGGAAAAAGAGGACATGGTTTGTCGCTTTGGAAGAAGAGGCTTGTACGAGTTGAAACAAGCACCGCGACAGTGGTATAAAAAGTTTGATTCTTTCATGGTGAATCAAGACTACAAAAGGACAGATGCAGATCCTTGTGTATATGTTCATAAATTCCCTGATGGTAAATTTATCATCCTTCTCTTATAAGTTGATGATATGCTAATCGTTGGACCAGATGCACACATGATTAGCAAGTTAAAGAGTGATTTGTCAAAAGCATTTGACATGAAGGATTTGGGATCTGCAAGGCGAATTCTTGGAATGGAGATTATTCGAGACAGAAAGTCCTGCAGGTTATGGTTATCCCAAGAAAAATATATTGAACGAGTTCTAGAAAGAGATTCAATATGAAGAATGCTAAACCAGTTAGCACTCCACTTGCCGCTCACTTCAAGTTGAGTAAAAAATCTTACCCATCAACAGATAAAGAAAAAGGAGATATATCAAATGTTCCATATTCTTCAGCGGTCGGAAGTTTGATGTACGCAATGGTGTGTACGAGACCAGATCTCGCTCATGCAGTTGGTGTTGTGAGCCGATTTCTGTCAAATCCCGCCGATTTCTGTCAATCCCCCAGAAGACACATTGGGAAGGCAGTAAAGTGGTATTTTAGATACTGAGAGGAACTTTCAAGTTATTTTAACTTTTAGAGGTGAAAAGGCTGCACTAGTTTGGTTACACAGATTGCAGACATGGCCTGGTGATGCTTGATGAAAGAAATCTACATTCAGGATACCTATTACATTCTCAGGGGGAGCTATTCATTGCAGTCAGATTGCAAAATGTGTTTCATTTATCACGACTGAAGCAGAGTTTCGTTGCAGGCAACAGAAGCAGATAGGAAGATGTTTTGGTTAAAGAGATTCTTTTCAAGAATTGGGTGTGCAGGCAGGAAGAATATATAGTTATTGTGATAGTCCAAAGTGCGTTAAGACTTTAGCAAAAACTATGTATCATGCACGGACGAAGCACATTGATGTAAGATATCAATTGGATTTAGATCTTGCCATTGAAGAGAAGCAGTTTCAGTTGCGAAAGATTCAAACACTAGCAGAGCAAAAATGCTGCAGATATATTACAAAGGTTCCGTTCCGAAGGAGAAGTTCGAGCTATGTGTCAAGCAGGCAGGGATGGAGAGGTCCCCACCCATGTAGTCGGGAGGGGGAGAATTGTTTGTGGGGTCTCCTACGATGTGGCGACCCACAAAAGTTTGAAAGAAAAAAAAAAAGAGAAAAAAAAAAAAGATTAAACACGTTTTTGTTTATTTTTTCAAAGGTTGGGAGCCAACCATTTGGAATGGTTAAGCAGCCATTTGAATAAGGAAGTGCCTGTTGCATTGGTAATGCACGGCTCTCTTCCTCCCTCTCACTTGCTCCTATAAATAGAAATGATTCTCCTTAATCAGAACGTACAAAAACAAAAACATAAAAACAAAGAAAAAATTTTAAAGGAAAAGGGTTCCTAAAATGTGGATGAGAGAAAATAGTGAGGATTGTAATTTTTGGGTGTTTTTATTACACTTAAGAAGTGCCACCTATTTTTGTAATCTCCTTTTGTACCTCATTTTTAGTAAAAGAATTATTCGGAGTTTTTTTTCCGTGGACAATAGCCCAATACAACAGTTGAAAGTGTGAACCACGTAAATCTCGGTGTTCTTATTTTTCAATCTGGCATTACGGTAATTATTTTAATTTTTACCGTGTTATTATTTCTGGTGAATTCTTCGTCATATCCAATAGATTAATTTGGAGATATATGTGGTAATAGTAATTTTATTCTTACTCTTACACCGGATTTTTCCGCGGGCCCCACTCGGAATAAGTTAATATTCCAACAATAATAATTTTTACCGTGGTTATTATTTCTGGTGAATTCTTTCGTCAATATCCAATACGAAATTATTGGAGATATATGTGGTAATAGTAATTTTATTCTTACTCTTACCACCGGTATTTTTCCGCGGGCCCCACTCGGGATAAGTTATAATTCCAACAATACTTTGGTATAATTAATTTATTATAAAATCAAAGAAATAATTAAATAATAAGTTGTATAATAATTTAGTTCACGTAAAGACTAAATCTAATATATCATTGTTAATTCTCCTAAACAAATAATTCCTTTATTTTTTTATTTGTCTGTAGCCGCCCGTGAAAAAAAATGTTTCATTATTTTTGTCATAAATCCAAATATAAATGGAACATTTCTTTAATGGAAAACAGCTATAATTCCTCCTCTTTGACATTTTCGTGAAATTAGAAACCATAATACAGAATTGAACACAAGGAACTTTTCCATTTCTTCTGTTTATAATGTGAGGCTCTCAATGTTTTGTTGAGTTAGCACTGCACTTTGTGCTGTTCACTTCAGTTCCCTGGCTGCTCCTCACAGTTATGGACAGTGGACTTTGTCTTTTTCCTGAATTTTTATCTTACCAAAATTCTCAGGAAACAAAATTGGACCAATTCAGAATGTTGATAAAATTAAAGAATGCAGCAAAATAACAAAGATAAAACCCTCAATGAGGATCGAAACTCAATTTTTTTTTCTATAATTTAATTTCGGATTTAAAGTGAGGGTTTAAATTCGAGATCGTATAATTCTAAAATTGATTTCTGTTCAAATCTGATTTCTACTAGTTTAATTTTGATAAAAAAAACCTTTTGGATAAGCATAAGAGTCATGGAAGGAGACTCCCTTGATATACTTGCAGGTTAAATATGAGGTAAGACTATATATTCCTGTAATATACAGGACAAAAGAAAGGAAACACAGAAGTTGCACATACTTATCTTTTAAATTAGCGGGCATTATTGATCGATCATAATCTACGTGGCCCAACATTTTCCTCATGTCAGTTCTTGTTCTTTAATAATGATAAAAAAAAGGTTACAGAGAAATTTTTTTGTAATTGAACTACTACTTATAAGAGCGAGCAAAGTTATGTCCATAGGAGAGCGTAGAACTAAAAGACCCATGGCTGCTCCCATTTTTATTGTTCTTATGTTCGCTACTATCTGCCTCTTTTCCAGTGTTCTGGCAAAATCCAACACTTATATAATTCATATGGACTCCTCTGCCATGCCCAAACCATTCTCTGATCACCATAATTGGTATCTTGCCACTATTGATTCTATATCTGAAACTTCCAAACCCACCTCTAAGCATGTGTACACTTACACAAGCTCCGTTCATGGATTCAGTGCTACTCTTACTGATTCTGAACTTGAAGCCATCAAGAAAAACCCTGGCTATATTTCCTCTTCCCGAGATCGTCCTGTCAAAATTCACACAACCCGCACTTCTCACTTTCTTGGCCTAAGTACTGATTCTGGTGCTTGGCCAGCTACAAATTATGGTGAAGATGTAATTATTGGTGTGATTGACACTGGAATTTGGCCAGAGAGCGAGAGCTTCAGCGATGAAGGAATGAGTCCAGTTCCTTCTAGATGGAAAGGTACATGCGAGTCAAGTAGTCAATTCAATTCTTCTTTGTGCAACAAGAAGCTCATTGGAGCTTACTTTTTCAACAGGGGTTTATTTGCAAACAATCCAGAAGTAGCCAACATTACAATAAACTCAACCAGAGATACAGACGGACATGGAACGCACACTTCTTCAACAGCTGCTGGCAATTTTGTGAAAGGAGCATCTTATTTCGGTTATGCCTCTGGAACTTCTAGAGGTATGGCCCCGCGAGCAAGAATAGCCACGTATAAAGCTATTTGGAGATCTGGAGTTTTTGAATCAGATGTTCTTGCTGCTGTAGACCAAGCAATTCATGATGGTGTTGATATATTGTCCTTATCGTTAACTTTAGCCGATGATGATATGTTTTTGGAAGATGATTCAATTGCAATAGCCAGTTTTTCAGCCATTGAAAAGGGAATATTTGTAGCAGCGGCAGCTGGTAATGATGGCCCTAGTTTTTATACATTGGTTAATGGAGCTCCATGGCTACTGACAGTTGGTGCTGGTACTGTAGACCGCGAACTTCATGGAATTTTAACTTTGGGCGATAAAACCCAATTCAGCTTCCCTACGTTATATCCAGGAAACTTTTCTTTAAGCCAGAGAACTCTCGTTTTCTTGGATGGGTGTGAAAGTGTGCAAGAAATGAAAAAATATAAACACGACATTATTGTGTGCAAGGACAATCTGAGTTTCAGTAGTCAATATGAAAATGCGGAGTCAGCAAATGTTGCAGCGGCTGTTTTCATTACAGATATAACCAGATTGAATTACTACACTCCAAGTCCATTTCCAGCTGCATTTATCGGTGTACAAGACGGCCAGAAGGTAATAAACTATATGACAAGCAGCAATGATCCAAAAGCAAGTCTGCAATTTCAAAAGACTATCGTTGGCACAAAACCAGCACCAAAGGTAGCAAGTTATAGTGCTAGAGGTCCATTTACAAAATGCAAGTATGTTCTAAAACCAGATATTATAGCTCCTGGCTCATCAATTCTAGCTTCATGGTCTCCAGTCAGTTCAGTTACGAAAGTTCGAAAACACGACTTGTTTAGCAAATTCAATCTTGATTCAGGAACTTCAATGGCAACCCCTCATGTAGCTGGCGTCGCCGCCCTTGTAAAGAAGATGCATCCAGATTGGAGCCCTGCAGCCATTAGATCTGCCCTTATGACATCTGCAAATCCATTAGATAACACTAACAGCCCCATTAAAGATGAAGCAGATGATAAAATACCTGCAGCCACACCTCTAGATATTGGAGCTGGACATATAGATCCTAACAAGGCACTTGAACCAGGGCTTATTTATGATGCCAAAACAGAAGATTACATAAAGTTTCTCTGTGCGATGAACTTGACAAAGAAACAGATACAATTCATAACAAGATCTAGCCATCACAATTGTTTAAACAAGTCTTTAGATCTTAATTACCCATCTTTCATAGCTTATTTTACTGGGGATGAGTCAAAATCAAATGGGAAAATGGTGGTGCAGGAATTTCCAAGAACTGTGACCAATGTTGGAGAAGGAATTTCGAATTATACTGCAAAGTTGACAAAGATGAATGGAATAAAGGTTAGTGTGGAGCCACAGAAATTGGCATTCAAGAAAAAGAATGAGAAGCTGAGGTATAAACTAATTATAGAGGGTCCAAAATTATTGGAAGAGGATGTGGTGTATGGATCATTGAGCTGGGTTCATGACGGTGGTAAATATGTTGTTAGGAGTCCTATAGTAGCTACAAACCTGGTCCCGTAATAAAAATAATATATAATAATATCTTTCAAGGGCATATATACGTGTATTAATAATTGTCATTTATATTAGTAAAAATTAAAGTGACATTGAATAATTCGTCTTCCTTTCACTTTTCCTTTATTCTCTATGTTTTTTCAAAAATAAAATGCTGGGACTCACGGGCCATTGTCTGCCACAAACATTACTTTTTTTCCTTTTTTAAATGCAGCATCCTTCCATCGGTCAGGTAACTCTCTCTCTCTATACGTATGTATATACATATATCATTAAAAGTTATATAATATTATAAATTATTATCTAATACGCTATTAATTTAATGATATATTAATCAATTATATTTAATATAATTTAAATTAATTAATAAATAATCACCTAAATTGAGCCATTATTGTTTTATATCTTTAAATAAATTGTTTGAAAATAAGTAGAGTATATATTTATTTATTATATTAATTGTGATAGGCTCCCTCTTACACTTTATTATATTAAATTTTATTAAATATAATTGATTAATCCTATTACAAATGAGAGGGTAGAAGCAAATGGAGTAAAAAGATAACAACTCATAATGTAAAAATATGTGATATGGGCTTATTTAAGCATGGGCCAACTAATGTTAAAAAATTAATACTGACCAATTAGTTAGTTGACTTCCACCTTTATATAGCTTTTGTGGATTGACTATTTAGTTAACGTGGGATTCTTAACAATACCGCCTTTCATTTTTACTTTTTTTTATTTATCTCTATAAATTTTAACATATTTAATCTATACTGCTTCCCACATGTCTATCTAAATTTTTACTTTTATAATAAAAACCGTATTCATATTTTTTAATAGCATAATAAAATGAAATTTGTTTGAGAATCTATAAACAACAAACACACACACACACATATATATATATATACACACACCTAATGTCATCAAGTTCGCGTATCACTCATCGAGACTAGACTGTGTGGCTCTTGCTTAAAAGACCCCAAACAAACCAGCTAATGATATCAATAAATTATCTGCAAGTCAATAATAGGCGTTAGAATAACATAATATCGATATGTAATCATATAAATTCGAATATAAGAATAATTCAAGTATCATCGAGAAACACATAGCAACACACAGTACAACATCGCGCATAAAGGTAAAATGATAATTTTTATTTATATATCCAAAATTACATCAAGGCAATCAAATTTACAATAAGGCAATTAATGACACTTTTCATAGGCGTAGGAGAGTGACGAGTGGTCAAAATCACTTGAACGATAGAGTCCTTCTTCTGCCCTATATATATTTCAATTTTCTTTTTTAGCCTTACGGGAATGTTGCTAGTTACATAATATACTCTTGCATATCTTTCTAGAAAATTAACCAATTACATAGTGTTGTTGTATTCAAATTTAACAAATGAATAAACAATTTTCTTAAAATTGAATGCTCCAAATTTTTTGGAACCTTACAAAATATTATTTCATTTTCTAACTGGAGTTTAAACTAGACTTCAAATATTGAGGAGTTGATGTCAGAGTTCTCAAATTTTAAAAAAAAAAAATGAGGAGCTAAAAATAGAAATAGAGCTATATTTTAAATATTGAGAGTAAATAGTTACATTTTTTAAAATATAAATAAATTTTTTTGGGTGGAAAATTGAATTTTAAGAAGTTTAGCCTCTTAAAAACCACGTATAATTCAACTTTAAATCCAAATTGTGAATCTTTTAAGTGTTTTTTTTATTATATTTCATAAATTTATAATTTCAACAATTAAAATTAAAAAAATGGAAAAATAATAGAAAAACAATAAAAATAATTATGTAACGACATTATCATCATTTTTTGTCTTACTAATTTTTTTAATTAATATTATTAATTATGGAAATATTTATTTGTTTCAAATAAATATTTAGAAATGTTGAAGATAAAATTAGTAGAAACGATCTAAAAACAGGTGAAAAAAAAAAGTAAAACCAAAAATCGGTTCAATTTTAGAGCCAAAAATTTAAAAGCACCTTTAAATAAGCCTTCATATTTTGAAAGCCTTGCAGGCTCAGGCTTTTAGCCATTTCTGTCTCTGTCTTCCTCATCGTCTTCTTCTTTTTATTTCTCTCCCAGATATATGGAATTCCGGAAATGAAGGTATATTCATCACTGCTTTCGTTCGACAAAAATAATAATAATAATAATAATGAAAAATAATTCGTAGAATTAACATATAAGTTCTGTTTGTTTTCAATTATTTTCTTACTTGCAGGAATCAAATGCTTTCTGCAATTTCTCTATCCAACTTCTCTTTTTTGGCCTTTGTTTATTCGTGGCCGGTTGTTCCTGTCTCAAGGTTCTCTCTTCGTTTTTCTTTTCTTGACATCTTAATTTTGCTTTTCAAATTCAAAATTAATTATATGAGTGATTATCAGAATCATACTTGTGTATGTGTTTATGTGAATCAAACAGTTGGGGGAGACCTGTTCGTCAAATAATGAATGCGAAGCCGGATTGCGATGCGAAGCTTGCCCTGCAAATGGAAATACCCGAGCCAGATGCATCCGGACTCGGCCTTTGAGCCCAACATCAAAAGTTGGTCTTTGATATTTCATTTATTTATTTATTCATTTATGTTTGTTTACTAGTTTGTTAGGTGTTTGATAATAAAACTCAAAGAAATGAAGAAGAGGTATTGATTGGTTTTGGTTGCATTTTGTGTTTGGTTAGGTAAAAGGTCTGGCATTCAATAAATATTCATGGCTAACAACCCACAACTCTTTTGCGCTCATCAACTCAAAATCGCAAACGGGTACAATTCTGCTATCTCCTTCAAATCAAGAAGACACTGTTACCAGTCAACTCAATGTAAGATAAAGTATATATTGCTGATAAATTGCTGCATTCTATTTTCTAGTGTCCTTATGATTATTGTTCTTTGATTAAAAATAAGCATCCAAGCTCTGATTTTCTTTTGGATTATTTAGCATGGAAACATACTTGGCCACTAAATGCCCTCCTGCCTTTAATGCAAAATGGTGATTATGAAGCTATGGCTCAATTGGAAAAATGTAAAGGGTTGAACACGTTTTATCTTTACCCTTTAATAAAACTTTTTGTGTATTGCCTTTTCTCTAAATTAGATTATCTAAATGGCCTGCTAAAAGTAAAATTAATCTGCTAACGGAAACTGTATTCTCTTATAGAATGGAGTTCGAGGAATTATGCTAGATGTGTATGACTTCAATAATGACATCTGGTTATGTCACTCTTTTGGTGGCAATTGTTTCAACTACACAGCATACGTGAGTCCATCTCTTAATGTTTGCTTAATTAGATTCTACTCTGCAATAATTTAGGTTATCTTTTTATCTTTTGAATTGACAAGCACTGAATTTTGATCTTCTCCAGCAACCTGCCATCAACGTGCTAAAGGAGATTGAGGCCTTTCTGGCTGCGAACCCATCAGAGATCGTCACTATTTTCATTGAGGATTATGTGCTATACCCACAAGGCTTGACCAAGATTTTTGATGCATCTGGTCTCAAGAAATACTGGTTTCCTGTATCAAAGATGCCTAAGGATGGAGAAGATTGGCCAACGTTAGATGATATGGTCCAGAATAATCAGCGCTTGGTGGTCTTCACATCTAAAGCAGATAAGGAGATCTCTGAGGGCATTGCTTATACTTGGAAATATGTGGTAGAAAATCAATGTTAGTTTCTCCGTTTCAGTATATTTTTACTATTTAGTTAAAGATTTTTGCTTGGATATCTAAGAGCGCCAGTTCTGATTTTTGCCGTGGAATTGCAGATGGGGATAGTGGAATGAAAGCTGGTTCATGTCCAAATAGGGTTGAATCGCTTCCAATGAGCTCAAAAAGAGTATCACTGGTTGTTCTAAACTATTTTCCAGCTATTCCCAATGTAACAGAATCTTGCTTCGAAAATTCAGCTCCATTAATTGGCATGACTAAAAGTTGCTACGAAGCAGCTGGACAGCGGTGGCCAAACTTCATTTCTGTTGATTTTTATCAGGTATATTTAGTTGATATGCTTTTACTGTATCGCTGCACAATTTAAAGAACTGGAGATAGAGATTTGTTATTAACTTCTCAGAGTTCGTTGTTGTAGAGGAGTGATGGTGGGGGTGCCCTACAAGCTTTGGATGAAGTGAATGGTCAACTTACTTGTGGATGTGCCAATATTGCCTACTGCAGGGTATGTTGCTACAAGGTTCTGCTTATTAAATGAAAATTCTTGTATCTTTTCAGTTTCTCATCATTTCATCCTTTTTGCATCTGGACTTTCAAGATTGGGTCCACAAAGGTTATTTACTAGTGTATCAGCTTAGCTGATCCTTCTTGAACAACTTGCTAAAAAGTTACATTTTTTCTTTTTTATAATTAAGTGTTTGGAAAGAAAATTTTTCAATCAGTTGCCTTTTTCACTGTATTATTAGGATAGATCATTGGACCTGACCAATGAACTACATTCATCTACAACTTCCCCTCTCTTTCTTTATTACATCGCAGAGAGAATTACTGAAAAAATTCAGATAATTATCCCTGTTTCTGATTTTGATTTGTTATCTCATGGCAGGAAAATGCCCCGCGTGGTACATGTGACGTTCCGCAAATTGCACCCCCTCCACCTGCTGCTGATGCTAATGCACACCCACAACCTTCCTCCCATAATGCTTCTGACACCAACATTCCCTATTTGCACGTCAACCAATCCCAGGTACAATGGATAGTCGGTACAATTATGTCCATTGCACCACCTCCTGGTGCTGCACAACACTCCCCTCCTCCTTCCAGTAACATTGCTTATTTTGATGCTAAACCAATCCAGCTACAATGGTTGCTGGGAACAATTTTGATAGTAATGCCATTATTTTGGCTGTAATTATTATGCTCATGAGCCTCTTTACCCTTTATTCTGTCCCAAACCATAATATTTTGTACAGATTATTTGTTGTCTTCACTTTGAGGAGGGTTGTTGTCCATAAGAGAATTATTTATGTTAGATTACACTTTGATTTGTGGTCACCATTGCTTGTACATTTGACACTGTATAAGAAAATATATAAAGATGACTTTACACATTATCTTTTTTTTTCTCCGTTAGGCTGTGATTAAGATTTAAACTCAGCAATTTCATATCTCTGGAAAAGCTTCCATATATCTAAACTAAAATAAATGTTTGTAATATTAGCTATATCTACACCACTGAAAGATAGAATGTTTGCTTACATATTAGCTATCAGACTATAATCATATATATATATATATATATATATATATTATCCACCCACTGTGTGACCGATCAGCCTGAACTGTCCAGCATCGGCCCACGCGATACTTGCCCTAAATAAGAAAACAAAGTCCCGATTTCTTGATTCTTTCCTTTCCTTTCTTTTTTTTTTTGTAAAAAAAAAAACACTAAAAAAACCTAGATTATGTGGTCTGTCGGAAAAATCATCCACGACGTACAATGGTCTACTGTCTGTCTTGAAGTTCTCCGGCCGGAACCCGCTTAAATCTCTCTAGGAAAGCCACGAAACATCAGCGTTTACAGCTTGAGAAAGGGTTCCACCGCAGTACAAATCTTTTATTAAAATGAGCCAATAAAACCAGAAAAAGTAACATTTTCTTTAGACTATCCCCCTGAATCGCCTTCTCCAGCAGTTTCAGCCAACCTATATTCACGGTCGTGCAGCGGCCGCAACTGGACTATTCCGCTCCCGGTTACGCCTTGACCGGCTCGCCTTGCGTCCGCGTCTCAAGCCCGAGTAAATCATGGATAAAATTGTAAGAACGAGGGAGCACGTGGTTGCTTTACGGTTCATGCCGTTGCTCTTCAATGTAACCTAATAAGTTATAGATTAAATTGAAGTCATTCTCTCTTTATTTTTATTTTGAATATTTCTGACAAAAAAAAAAAAAAAAAGAAGTGGTTGTGAAAAATAGACATAATGTTGCTATGTCTGTTCTTTGAAGTTTCTGCGAACCTGTAAATCTTTCTAGAAAGCAGAAAATCAGCGTTTCAGCTTGAGAAAGGTCACGAGTACAATTTTTATTAAAATGAAAAAAAGAAAAAGTAAATTTTTAGATTATTGAATGCTTCAGATTTAGAACCTATATACGGAACGGAATATTATTTTGTGACTTTAGCTCGTTTCCTTCAACCATAAATTATAAAAATTGTAAAACGAAGCACGTGTTGCTTAGTTATCGTTTCTTAATTACCTAATAATTAAATAAATTAATATTTCTCTCTTTATTTTTATTTTGAATATTTTTACGATCTAACTCTTAATAATTGGATTGATTGGTGAAAATATATTGCATTTTCATATGAATTAATTTATTCTATTGCATTTGCATATGAAGTTACATAGCTGTAGCATTCATCTTTGTTGTTTTATCAATGGAAAAAATGAAAAAATGTATTAAAAAAAACTATTCTCTAAATATAAAAAATTATTGCAAACTATTTAAGGGGATTTATTTATTTAAAACGAATTTATAAATTTATTTATAGATCAAGCTAATAAAAAATAAAATTTTATACGGTATATTTCTAACTATATATTAAAAAAAAAAAGCTAAATAACAAAAATATTTAAAAATATCTGTTTTAATTAATTGATTTCCTGGATTAATAAGCAAGTCTAATTCCTGTTAAAAACTAAAATAACGATAAAATTACAACCAAAAGCCGCTACGTGACAAAAGAGTAACACCTAACGAACCTACACGCGTAAATTTAAGGTGACGTAAGTATCCTGTCGCTGGCAACGTTGCTGGTCATTTGTTCAGTTCACGCAATAGTTAGAGCCAAAAATTCAAAACCCACTTCTTTAAATAAGCATTCATATTTATTAAAAGCCTGTCATTTCTGTTTTCTCTGTTATCGTCTCTCTGCTTTCTCTGTCCATGAAGGTATGCAAGTAACTATACTCTTCTTCACTTTCTTCATTTCATTTTTCTCTTTTAAATACAAAAAACCCATAGTTATTTTGTGTGTTTCTCCACGCAGAGATCAAAAAATGGTATCTTTAATTCCTCTGTCCAACTTATATTCATTGGTCTTTGTCTGTTCGTTGCCGGTTGTTCCAGTCTCAAAGTTGGTTCCTTTACTCTGCTTTTCAAATATTAATTATAGAGAGAATTAGCTTGTGATGTTGTTTTGGTGTGTTTCTATTGATTCAACAGTTAGGAGAGACCTGTTCTTCAAATAGTGTTTGTGATAGTGGATTGAGTTGTGAAACTTGCCCTGCAAATGGAAATACCCGACCCAGATGTACCCGGATTCAGCCTTTGAACCCGACGTCTAAAGTGGGTATTTAGACATTTCTTTGTTGATTTATGTTTGTTTATTATTATTGATTGATTTTGGTGGTTGGTTAGGTAAAAGGTCTGGCATTTAACAAATATTCATGGCTAACAACTCACAACTCTTTTGCACTTATGAATGCTACATCGGAGACGGGTTCAGTTCTGCTAGCTCCTACAAATCAAGAGCATTCTGTTACCATTCAACTCAAGGTAAGATATAAGATTATGCCTGATGTCTAGTACACATTTCATTTTTGATTGTTTCAATTCTTGAGAACGATAAAGATTTTTTTTTTTTTTTCTCTAGTATATATTTCTTCTATTTGTTTATTTGTATATGTAGCACATTTACTATATACTATTTCGGTTTTGCGATATTTTATGCGATTAAAGTTAGATTTTTTTTTTTTCTTATTGAATAAGCAATGGGTTGCTAAAGAGAAAAAGAATGGTTAGAAAGTTTGCTAGTAAAGGGGAGGGAACAAGAATACATCTTTATGATAATTGCTGCACTGCATGGCCTGCTTAGCTGTCTTATAATTGCAGTTCTTTGATTAGTAAGTAAGAATTCAAGCTTTCGTTGTCTTTTGGACAAGAAAAGTAATTTGTGTTCCAGCTAATGCCAATCATTGTTTTAGCCTGCCGTTCTTTAGCTAAAGAACTCCAACTTATGACAATTGTTTGGTACTTTGGTTGATCCAATTTTGAGTATTAGGTGAGTCCAGTGATTCAAATTGAAATCAATAATGTAAAAAGCACGTGCACCTATATCAATTCAAACCATGATTGCCTTCCTTTATCTGTTTAGCAGATATGACCCGATACGTTGTTATAGGATATTTATCTTGTATGAATGTGTAAATTTTAAGCTCCTACCATCTTTGACCATATGAATGGAAAATTTTGCAAACTTGTTGTTCAAATGGAAAAAGGATTGACCGGTTGGCCGAGATGATATTTGTTTTTTTGGATCCTTTAAGTAAAACTATGATTTTTTTTTTTTTTAATTATACTGGCTAAATAGCCTGCTGACCAAAATAAGCCTGCTAATGAAAATTTATTTTCTTGTAGAATGGGGTTCGCGGGCTTATGCTAGATATGTATGACTTCCAGAATGATATCTGGCTATGTCATTCTTTTCGTGGCACTTGTTACAACTTCACAGCATTTGTAAGACCATCTCTGCTGTAGCTTATTCAGTTCCTACTCTACATAAATTTAGGGTATGTTTATCTTGCAATTGACAAAGCACCAGATTTTGACCTTCCCCAGCAACCTGCCATCAACGTGCTAAAAGAGATTGAGACCTTTTTGGCTGCAAACCCATCAGAGATTGTTACTATTTTCATTGAGGACTATGTGACGTCCCCACAGGGGTTGACCAAGGTTTTCAATGCATCTGGTCTCAGTAAATACTGGTTCCCTGTATCAAAGATGCCTAAGAATGGAGAAGATTGGCCAACAGTGGATGATATGGTCCAGAATAATGAGCGCCTGGTGGTCTTTACATCCAAATCAAATAAAGAGGCCTCCGAGGGCATTGCTTATAATTGGAAATATGTGGTAGAAAACCAATGTGAGTTTCTTTATTTCAGTATTTAAATTAGAGACTGTTATTTGGATATGTAAGAATCAGTTTTAATCTTCACTGTAAAAATTGCAGACGGAGATGATGGGATGAAAGCCGGTTCATGTCCAAATAGGGCTGAGTCGCCTCCCATGAACACAAAAACGATATCCCTGGTTCTTCAAAACTATTTTCCCAGTAATCCTAATTTAACAGAAGCTTGCCTGGACAATTCAGCTCCATTAATTAGCATGACCAATAGTTGCTATGAAGCTGCTGGCAAACGGTGGCCGAACTTCATTGCTGTTGATTTTTATCAGGTAGTTCCTGATACAGTGATATGCATTTACTAAATTACTGCAAATTTTTTTAATTGGTAGATAAAATTTTGAAAAGTAGTTTTGGCATTAATTCCTTGGAGTTGTTGTAGAGGAATGATGGTGGGGGTGCCCCAGAAGCTCTGGATCAAGTGAATGGTCAGCTTACTTGTGGATGTGAAAATATTGCCTACTGCAAGGTATAGAAATTCATGTTTCTTTTCAATTTCTTTTCATTGTTGGTTTTGCATCTAAATTTCAAGATAAGGTTGATCAAGTTCTTACATTTGAACAAATTTAAGATTGACATGCAAACTATATGCTTACGCTTGTCATTATTTCAAATCATGAACTCACTCAACTGGAAATATTTGTTTGATTTATCAACCGAGCTAATCCACCTAAATGTTTTTCTATACTCATTTCTGACTTTTCATTTGTTATTCATTGGTAGGCAAATGCCACGCGTGGCACATGTGATGCACCACGAATTGCCCCTCCACCTGCTGTCGCTTCTGCTGGTGGAAGTTCACAATCTCCACCTGCATCAACTCCCACAAACATTGCTTGTGTGAATGCTAGACCGGTCCGATTCCAGTGGTTGTTGAGGATAATTTTCACAGCGATGTTATTATGGCAGTAATTATATTCATGACCTTGTTTAGATGTGCATCAGAATGTTTTGTATAGACGAACTGCGGCTAATTTCTGTCCTTACTTGGAGTGTGGTTGTTGTAGTTCATAAGAGAGTGATTTATATTAGTATGTAGATTGAAAGGATACTTTATCATAAATACTTTCTTATTGATTCCCTTATGGGGAAAAAAGACGTACAAGGAAATTTTTTTTTCCTGTTTCTCATTCTTTGTCTGCATTACTTTTTAATACCCTGATTTACAATCCAGTTGGAAAGATTAAGAATTGATTCTTTCTATTAAGCAGTTTTGAAAAAGTGAAATTTAAAGGATGGTGTTATTCTGTGACAGTAACACATTGTATAATTGTGTGTGCCCCAATTCAGAGGAGTTTGTAAGCATGTGGCCTGTCTACAAACTAACTTCTATTCTTCTCATGTGACCCAGAAGTAGGAACTTCCTGTGGTTTCCTATAGTACATGCACGGACTCATTTAGCGGGCAAAATCCTTTGTTTTGTCCATTACGATTGAAATCTTGAATAAGTAAAATTATTCTGGATCAGGTTTGAACTATCAATGGTTCCAATTCAGGATACTTGAGCTTTTACCTCGTAATCTATCTCCTAATTAAACGTAAATATGTTAGTATGTTCCAGTTGGCCCTTCTAGTAACAAAATCCAAGTCAACATCAACTGACAGAAACCCCTAAAGATTTTGCAAGGGCATGTGACTTCAGCATAACAGCCAAAAAACCCACAAAATGACTGAAAGCTTCCTTATAACATTGCCTAAAAGGAGGCCCAGCAAAGCATCAATGGAGGGGACCAGACATGCTAGACTAATGCTATACCCTTAGGTGCCAAGGTTTACAATGTCACACCTTAAAGCTTCTGCTGTATGGATATTGAACTAGCAAGCTGCAAGCCATGTTACTTAAGGGACCCTGCTAATAATAATATCATGATCTAACCCTCCTTGCTTAGCAGAAAGTTTTTTGCCTTATTCATTACATAAAAGAGACATTTGATATTTTGAATTCATTTATACCAAACAGAGTGTAAAACTGTTGGTTTTTAAAACAAACATAGCTTTCATGTTGAATGTGATCAAAACTTGATGTAAATCTGAAATTCTTACACATATGATTCTTTTTTTTTTTTTTTTTTTTTTTTTTTTTTTTTTTTTTTTGTCCTTTGCTACCCTGTTATAGAATTTGGTAAAAAATATGGTGTTATCATATTACTATTATTAGTTATTAATAATAATAATAAAAATAACAAATTTCAACTTCTTTTTTTTTTTTTTTTTTGTCCTTTGCTACCCTGTTATAGAATTTGTAAAAAATATGGTGTTATCATATTACTATTATTAGCTATATTAATAATAATAATAAAAATAACAATTTCAACCTCTATTTTAACTTGCAAATTAAATATATAATAACAGGTTTTATTTTACTGTGACTACATTGAGCAAGAATGTGACCTTGATTGAATTACATGAAAGGCCTAATGCGCAGAGAATACAAAGTGTCCCTACTCCCAAACAAAAGAGCATTGGTTGTAACATTTGAATTCAATCTTGCTATGACGGATGGTTTAATATGGACAGCTATACAAGACACAAATAATAGAGTGGAACTAATTGACAACCACAAAAAGAGACTTACTTGGATAGGCCAATGTCCAGATGGGGCTGGAGCAACAAACAGTACACTTTTTGCAGTCCCACTTAGAACAAGCTCAATTATGTCTCCTCATTGCTTTTCTTTATGGCATTAGCTTGCACCCCACTTCTATCACCTGTTTCTGTCTCCGGCTTCTCCAAAGATCCATCACTTTGCGTGCTTCTGGGATCCCGTATAGTTCCACCTTTGCGATCCTGCAATCATTTGATTCATAGGCCATGAAGTTGCTAGTACGAAACACAGTCTAAGCTATAAGTATAATGCTAGTGAGTAAAGATTTTGTTATGTAGTGAGATTGATACATACATCTCTCAAGGGGAACTCATCAGCTTCGAGCATATGTATAATATGCCCCATTTTTGGTCGCTTCTGTGCATTTGGGTCTACACAACGTAAAGCTACAAGAAGTGCCCGCTTCAATGCCCTTGAAGAAGGCTTCTCGGGTAGCTTGGGATCCAACACCCCTTCAGGATTTCTGTCGCTAACCATCTTTTTAAGCCAATCAACTAAGTTAACCTGAATTATGTATATACAGTTAGTTATTAGCTAAATCAATAAAGAAGAGAAAAAAAAAATGACACTATGATTGTGTAATGTGAACCTCTTCCGAAGGCCGGCTATAATCAACTGGATTCCTCCCAGAAATAATTTCCATTACAAGCATTCCAAAGCTATAGACATCACTTCTTTCATTCAACATGCCTGTGCTTGCATACTCAGGAGCTACATAGCTACAAAAGAATAAAAAAATTAGTACATTTCTACGCACTCACACACATAAAATGGAGATATACAAGATCCTCATACCCAAATGTTCCCATTACACGAGTTGTAATATAGCTTCTTTCTGAGCAAAGGAGCTTAGCAAGGCCAAAGTCTGAAACTTTGGCATTCCACAGCTTGTCGAGCAGAATGTTACTCGATTTTATGTCTCGGTGAACAACTTTTGGTTCAAGGCCCTCATGAAGGTATGTTAACCTATAATATATCAATATTGGTCCAGTTGTATTGAAACTTTCTCAAAACTGAGAGATTGTGAGAATGAAAGTAGAAAGACAAGCAATTTACCAACTGGTGCTTTATATAGGTACAAATATGAAACTTGTAACTTGATTTTGGAACGGATTATTACCCTTTTGCAGTTCCCAAGATGATATTCATTCTTATTTCCCAAGTAAGAGGACTACAAGGACCAACATCCCCATGAAGCCACTGTTCTAAGTTCCCGTTGTTCACATACTCATATACCAACATCCTACAATTGAAGAAACAAACCATAATTAAGTTTGATCAGTGAAGTTAAAGGCTGCAATATTCAATAGTCAATTTACCACTAAAAGCAGGGGAAAAACAGAGTACCTGTGAGATCCTTCAGCACAATAACCAAGCAGTCTCACTAAGTTTTTATGCCTTACTCTTCCAATAGCTTCCACCTCTACTTTAAATTCTTTTTCAGCCTGTCCCCTGAATATAAGAACAGATTCAACTAATTCAAAATTGAAATTGAAATCAAATATCCACATTGAAATTAGAGGATATAGTTTATATTACCTGTTATTGAGCAAGTTTTTGACTGCTACTTGAGTGTTATCCCCTAAAACACCATGGTAGACAATCCCATATCCTCCCTCACCAATCACATTCTCATCAGCAAATCCATTAGTGGAGTCTTCCAGCTCTCTCAAAGTATACCAATGGCCCCAACCCAAATGGGAAACATCAGGACCTACCATCGCCACCTGATCAACACCCCCGCCGCCAACAACACCGCCACGTGGCGCCTCGGAAGAAGGATAAGAAATCAAATGCCCTTTGCCAATATCAATCTGAATCCCATGATACCCCATTGGACTCTCCTCCTCTGGTGGCATAAGCAGCAAAGCTTGCCTTTCGTTTCCGGCAGCAATTTCCGGGTCGGGAAATGGGTCATTTTGGATTCCCCGATGTGGTTTGATAGACTCAACTCTGATTTCTTGGATCTCCTTAGAAACAACTGGGATTTTGGATTTCTTAATACTTTTAGAGCGTTTTGAAGCCAGCCACAGAGTAATGAGAAAAAGGATCAGCACAAAAGCTGCTCCAACACAAAAGCCAAGAACTACCCATAATCGCAGACCAAAAATTGAGGTTGGTTTTGACAACTGATCACTCATGAGCCCTGTTTTCTGATCAGACATTAACTCTGTTTTTATCTATAAAATCAGAGAAAAAACAAGAGGTTTCTTTACATATCTATTCTTTTAGTGTCCCCGTATAGAATCTGAAATTATAAAGATTGTTAATGAAGGCAAAAGAAATAGAGAGACTAGAAGAAAGTGAAAGTGAGAGTGATGAAGGAAACAGGTAGCAGCTGGCATGGGGGGACTTTAATGAAAGATAGGGGAAAAATTCCCCTGGCTACTGGTTTTTCGGGGTGGTTAATTTTACGCGGGTAGGAGATGTTGAAAGTAGTACACATAAAGAAAGAGTGAGATAGTAATTAGTGCACAAAATAATTAATTAAAGGTTAATCCAGCAAGTACCAATGAATAATGATGTTTAATTGACTGTTTTGGGTCATGAACTCATGATTTTTAGTGCTCTGACTTTATTTATTGGTAAGTAAAGACATCATTTGAAACAGGGGAAATGGGACGAATAGAGGTGGAGTTTTCCCTTATTTATTTATTTATTATGTATAGATAAAATAGGGAAAGAGGTATTTATATCCTGTATATAGACTCATCTTCAGATTCAACTAATCATGAACATTATTTGATTAGCAATGTATTTTTCGTTTGTTTTTATTTATTTATTTTTAACTATAAAGGTAAATTTAATTTATTAGATAAATTATTAATCAAATAATTAGAGTGAAGTTATTTTTAGAACATGAATAATCTTATTTTCTAATATTATGATGCCATAAAATGGCTAATAAAACATCTTCAAATGAGGCACAATATGTCAATTTTGCATGTTATTTTAGTCTAACAACTTCAATCATTTTTGTCATCTATTAGAGATTTTGCCTAATCAAAGCACCTAAAGCGTATGATATAAACACTTATGAATCTAAAGTTTGGTAGGGTATTGGCTAGGAAAAATTAAGTAATAGTCTTATCATGTCAATTAGTTCAACACTTTTGTAGCCGACAAGCTTCTTTGTTTTGTTTCGATTCACAATATTTGTTCCCTTGCTAAAACATTAAAACAGTAGTGATTATAATAATTGATGTTTTTAATTTTAATCATAATCTATTTGTTAGTGGTGGTGGTTGGATTTTGGAGTCATTTGCTTATTCAACTTTATTTCAGTTGTTGCAAATCCCATCATCATCTTCCTGTGTTTTAAAATATTTTTTTTTCATAGAAAAAATAAACTAAAGTAAAATTCTAATACAAAAATTCAAAGGGGTGGTGAAATATTTTCGGGAAAATAAAGTTCAAAACAAGTTTAGATACAGGTATAGCCCAAAACAATTAAGCATAAGCCCTTCATCAAATGGGCTTCAAATTATAATCCGTGTGTTAAAGGCCCAATTACAAATGTTGGCGCCAATCCCGTTCCATTTCCTGAATCTTCCCGCCAATATTAATCTCCAAAAGTCATTTCCGCCTCTCTCCCTCACTGCAAAACCCTTCACGTGATCTAACAAGCAGAGAGAGATGACGGACGAACCACCAGTCGTGGCCGGCAGGCGACGGAGCAGGGGACCTGAGGCTACAGCTCGATCGGAAGCCTTAGAGCGACTAAAAGCCCTACGCCGAAGTGGCCGTAGATCTGAGAATGGCGGCGGATATGACGTCAAGATTGAGACTCCGATATATGACACAGTCAATGAGGATGATTACGACAAGCTCGTGGCCCGCCGTCGTGAGGAAGTCCAAGGCTTCATTGTTGATGACGATGGTCTTGGGTATGGAGACGATGGTCAAGAGGAGGATTGGTCACTGGCCGGCTTCAATCTATCGTCAGATGAATCTGATGGCGGCGAGCAAAACAACAGACCTAAGAGGAAAAAGACAGAAAAGAAAGAGAAGGAGACGCAACAAAAGAAAGTTAATCCTGCATTATCAGCTGCGGCGGCAATGATGGGAAAACAAAGGATATCGGCGATGTTCACGTCTACCGTATTTAAAAACAAAGATTTTGGTAAGGGTAGGAGTTTGGATTGTGAAAATATTGTTGATGATGTTATAGCTGAGTTTGCTCCGGATGAAGCTGATAGAGAAAGGCGTAGAAGGGGCCAACCGGCTGTGAAGAATTTCACGGCAATTAAGGCCGAGGGTCTGGCTGTTAATGATGTTGGTTTGACGGCTAATGATGAATTGGGCAGGGTCATTACAAATAATGGTGACAGTGTCGTTAATTTAGGGAACAGTTGCAATGTTGATGAGAAAAAAGGGTTAATCATGGAAGTCAATGTAAAGAAAGCAATATACCAATCGTCCGATGCGGAGGCTAGTGGAGGAGTAGCTAAAGAGGACGAAAAAGATTTGGTTGAAGTGAAAGCAGAGCCAGCGGTGAAGAAGGAAGGTGGACATACGCTTAATGCGAAGATTACCGTGGAGGAGAAGGATCATGCTTTGAGTGCAATGGCTGATTGGCAGGCAGTTAGGAGTGGTGGAAATGAGAGTGTGGCTGGTGTTAGTGAAGAGGTTAAGAGCGGGTCAAGCTGTGAAGAGCAATCGGAGTTTGAGCTGGACGCTGATGGATCGCTGCCTTTTTACATAATTGATGCTCATGAGGAGGTTTTTGGTGCTAACCTGGGTACCCTCTATCTCTTTGGGAAGGTAATTCATTATATCTGAAACCATGGCAATTCAATTTTTTAGGCATTTTTTCATGAATATCAATCAGTTTTGATACAAGAATAGGGTTGGCTGACTGAGTTAACTATACAGTGAGCTGACTTTCTTTATATAATCATATGTAACTTGCTTTGTCATAATTCAAGATAGAATTAGTAAAACTAGTATAATAAATCAATTAGTCAGATTGCAATAGGGTGGCTGGATGCGTTGCACATTTGTACTGAGTCCTCATGAGAACTTAATGCAGTAATGTTTATTGTTAGGATCTAAGATGGAGAAAAACATTATTTAGTCTTTTGAATGTGCTATTCACTTAAATCCGGATGCAAAAAGTGAAGTTGTTGACATCTGACATTGGAATTTAGGTCAAAGCAGGAAATGCATATCATAGTTGCTGTGTGATTGTGAAGAACATGCAGAGATGTGTTTATGCGATTCCAAATGGTACCATTTTTCATACCAATGAGATGATCAAGCTGAAGAAAGATGCTGAAGAGTCACGGATTTCACCTACTGAGTTCCGTAAAAAGCTGCAAGTATATGTCCATACTGACACACACACACACACATATCCTATTAAAGATTTCTTATTATTTTTCTCCTCTTCTTTCCGTTTTCTTTCTCCAGCTGCGGTTAACTTGTTCTAACTATTTTCTTCTGCAGGAAGTAGCATATGACCTGAAAAATGAACTAGCAAGCCAACTATTAACACTCAATGTTTCAAGTTTTAGCATGGCCCCAGTTAAGGTTTGCGAATATAATCATTCCCCTGTTTCATAAAGTTCATGCTAAAGACGTCCACTGCTGTATCCTTCTACATCTTTTGCATTTTGTCCTTATATTCTTTTGATTGACTTTTGTTTTCATTATATCAAACACCTTACAGAGAAACTATGCTTTTGAGAGATCAGACATTCCTGTCGGGGAGAATTATGTACTTAAGATCACCTATCCATTCAAGGTATTGTCCACGACTGTGTGTACTTATTAGATGCCAACTTTATATTCCATCACGTTTTTAAAATTACTGCTGATGATTGATGAAGTTGCTTGGAACCATGATGCTCATATCACCTAGTTGACACTTCATCTGCTACGAATTTGTTAATTAGATTCTGTTATTAACAGGAACCTCCACTTCCAGCAGATTTAAAAGGAGAAAATTTCTGTGGTCTGCTTGGAACTCATCGCAGGTATGCTGTTGGAGCTTTTATTTACCAAAATTCAGGAACGAAGCACTCTTCTGACTTCCAAGAATACACTATTTGAGCCTATGTTGTATATGGATGTAACTGAAAATTTCAAGTGAAATGTATTATGAAGAATTCCACTGTTACTATTCTTCTGCAGCCTGAATATTTAGTCTAGCTTTCTTAATTAATTTCAAGGGGAAATAAATTATGATGGTTTTATCAACTGAGTCAATCAATTGTATATCTAGGTTGACTGCTTGTTAAATCAATGTTTGTGCATATAAGTTTTTCTGCAGTGTCTTTGTTCTTGGAGTTAATTCATGTCTGCTATGCATATCAAATTGAGACCCATGAACTTTTCATCTTTATATGATGTCACAGTTGTTAAATTCTTATCATGCTTTTGATGGTAAGCAACATAATAACCCAATGAATTTCTTTGTTTGGGGAAAGAAAGTTGCATTAACCATTATTATTATTATTCGCAGTGCTTTGGAGCTTTTTCTTGTGAAGAGGAAGGTAAAGGGACCTTCATGGCTGTCAGTTTCAAAATTCTCAACTTGTCCATCTTCTCAAAAGGTAAGATTTTCAACTCTGCACCCGTTTGTCATTTTGGTTAGAGCTTATAATATCCTTTCTAGATATTCCAATCTTTAATGTAATGTTACATAGGTGAGCTGGTGCAAGTTTGAGATTACTGTTGACACACCAAAAGATATATCGGTTTCATCATCCTCAAAGAACACAATAGAGATTCCTCCAGTAGTTGTTACAGCAATAAATTTGAAAACCATCATTAATGGAAAGCAGAATGTCAATGAAATAATCTCTGCATCTCTCATTTGTTGTCACAAAGCTAAGGTTTGTATAGACCCTTTCTTGAAAATACTGCTTTTGTTTTTATTTTCCTGTCTGATTAGGAGACTCAGCTGATTCCTTTTCTTCAGTTGTTGATTCATGGCACGTATATTCTTGCTTCTTGCTAAATAATTTATATATTTCAATAAATATAATGTCATGAGCATCTATTCTTGATCCACAGGACTCAAAATTAATCCCTTTTCTAAGGAGTCACGGAAAAAATAAAGTAAAAAAAATGCTATTCATATTAGTTAATGAAATAATTTGAGCATAAAGATATGCCTTGTGTAAGCATCAAATACTAGTTTACAGCTCATTAATGTTAGATATAGACATATCTTCTAGCAAATAGTACAAAAAAAAACAATCGCTTCTTTTCTGCTTTGGATGATACTACATGGTTAGTGGAAATGCAAAGGATTTTAAGTGCATTTTAAATGAGACCATAATTTAGGGACAGATGATACCTGCTTTTCATAAACTTCCAAGCACGCAATTTATTCCTGTGGCATATATTATTTGATTCAGAGTTCTTAGGCATTTTCAGTCTTCAAGTGAGCTCATGCTTTAGTCTAGCTAAACTTCATAGTGTTTACCAGTTAATCTTGTGGAAATTGTCCTATTTTTAAGATAAGCTCTTATGCTGTTTTACTTTTCAGATTGACAGTCCCATGTTGGCCTCAGAATGGAAGAAACCTGGTATGCTTAGCCATTTTACTGTTGTCCGCAAGCTTGAAGGGGGGATATTCCCAATGGGGTTTTCCAAAGAAGTGACTGAAAGGAACACAAACGCTGGATCAAATGTATTGGCCATAGAAAGCAGGTAAAATGTTTCTTGCTTATCAATTATCATTTTTCTTTATCAGATACAGCTTTTTACTTGTTTATTTTAAATTTCTTTTGCTTAAAGTATCATTCAAAATTGTTCTTCAGTGAAAGAGCTTTGTTGAACCGTTTGATGATTGCATTGAGCAAATTGGACAGTGATGTTCTTGTTGGACATAATATATCTGGGTTTGACCTGGACGTTCTCCTTCACAGAGCTCAGGTGCGTTACCTTTGCAGTATGCTTATTAGAGGGAGGAAAGAGGGGGGGTGGGGTGGTAGAGGAGATGTATATTCATTTTTCAGATGAGATTGGCATTTTCAATTCTTTGTTTTGAACTTGCTATGTATTCGTCAAAAATGCAACTTTAAGCTGGCTTCTGTCAAATATACAAATTCTTGAGTTGCCATTGTCCTTGAGATGCCTGTGTATTCCTTTAATATAGGCTTGCCGTGTACCAAGCAGCATGTGGTCCAAAATAGGCCGTCTCAAGCGTTCAGCGATGCCTAAGCTTACAAAAGGAAATTCTATATTTGGATCTGGAGCAAGTCCAGGGATCATGTCATGCATTGCTGGTCGGCTCTTGTGTGATACTTATTTGTGCTCCCGTGACCTGTTAAAAGAGGTACCTTCACTGGTAATGGTGTCCCAAAGGTTTGTGTAATGCTGCTATACATGTTTCTCACATATGCTATTCTTGTTTATCCAGGTTAGTTATTCCTTGACCCAACTAGCAAGGACTCGGCTGAACAAAGACCGAAAGGAGATAGCTCCACATGATATTCCTGGAATGTTCCAGACATCAAAATCCCTTATTGAACTGGTAGGTTCTGATGCTAATTACAGTTGCTTGTTTTAATTGCAATATTTAGTAATTTAACCAGGATGGTATTGTTGGAATGTCTTTCTTTTTCTTATTTTTCCTCAGAAAATAATTATGATTCTGTGGTCAGATGGTTTATATCTATTGAATTTGGTTTGGATCCAACATGGCTGGTCCAAGCACGGACAAAATCAATAGGCTGAAGGGTAATGCAAAACACTCTACATTTTTATCATTGACATGAATCCTAATGATACCCCGACTAATCTGAGACAGAGAGTTGCGTTTGAATATATGCAGAAGGGCTGTTCTTGCTTGATAATTGGTCAATGTGTTATGTGATGACAGACAATTCATAGTTCTTGAATAACATTAAAAATAGTTAGTTTTTGTTTATAATTTGCACAATCATAAGCAAAATGGTAGGCTGTAATCTGCGACAGAGAGTTAGTTGAGTTTGAATATGTACAGAAGGGCTGTACTTGCTTGATAATGGTCAATGTTTTAAGTGATGACAGACAATCCATAGTTATTGAATAACGTTAAAAATAGTTAGTTTTCTTTATAGTTTGCGCAAGCATAAGCAAAATGGTAGGTTGTAAGGTTTGTGGCTAATTTTAACTTCATATTTTGTCTACTCTCTAAAGAATTTGTAAAATAGTAGCTTAAGCTATAATAACTAAAATGTCTTAGCTTGCCAACTAAGACAACTTGCGAGTCCATGTGATTGTGATATGAGCTATCTGGAAATTACCACATTGTCCATCAGGTCAGCTCTGCCTAAGATATGGAATTTTCTTATATGCATCCTAATATATGGTTCTTATTGTGTTTATTATGCATTCAGATTGAATATGGAGAAACAGATGCCTGGTTATCTATGGAACTCATGTTTCATTTGAGTGTTCTTCCCCTAACACGTCAGCTGACTAATATTAGTGGTAATCTCTGGGGGAAAACTCTCCAGGTGAGTTTGTGATGCTTATTTTATTTTATTTTATTTTCCTGTAGAATTTGTACATGACACGTTTTATGATATCTAAATTTTCTGCAATCTACTATTTCTTTTCAGGGTGCTAGGGCACAAAGAGTAGAGTATCTTCTATTGCATGCATTCCACGCAAAGAAATATATTGTACCAGATAAGAATTCCTCTTATGTAAAAGAAACAAAAATGACAAAACGGAGAATAAATCATGGTGGTGAGGAAAGAAATGCCGAAGAGCTGGATACTGATGATGCCAATTTTGATAATGATAATCCAGACAATGATCGTGGAAAAGGGAAAAAAGGTCCTGCCTATGCAGGTGGTTTGGTTTTGGAGCCCAAAAAAGGTTTATATGACAAATATGTATTGCTTCTGGACTTCAATAGTCTTTACCCTTCTATCATTCAGGTTAAGAGCATTTTCTTTTGACCTCCTTTTTCTTCCCTTTTTTACCCAGTATGAGCATCGATTCTCAACTTGATTTTACAGGAGTATAATATCTGCTTCACAACGGTTGAAAAATCTACAGATGGGTTAGTTCCCCGTTTACCTTCTGGCAAAAAAACTGGAGTTTTACCTGAGGTATTATTATTACAAAACATACATAGTTTATCCTTGTTGCTATTGTCTTGCCAACACTTGAAATCTATAAACCAGGGGTAAATTTCGAGATCAGAATCTGTATCTTCCCCATGTGGACTTTACTTGAGACATTATCAGAAGCTATAGTCTTGCCAACACATGGGAACAACAAATAAAATATATGGAGAGAAAATTAGTTATAGATTTTGCAAGTCAATTCTGGAAATTCAGCTTGGTGAATGAAGATGATAATGATACTATTTTGAATTAACAGCTAATATTTGAATTTGTTTAGCCAATATAATAGATCTGATTGTGATATTATTTTCAGAAACTTGCATGTTAACCATTCTCATCATTTAAAGTGATATAGCTTGTTCAAGCTTTTTACGCATTAAATTGAGAGACAGATGTCTGTTGGAAACAAGATTTCTTGTGTCATATTTTGTTCTCTTTTTTAGCAAAACTAGATGCAGATAATTCCTTTTGCTATTATTTGGTAGTTGCTGAAAAATCTAGTGGAGAGGAGAAGAATGGTTAAGTCATGGATGAAAAATGCTTCTGGTCTCAAAATCCAGCAGCTTGACATTCAGCAACAGGCATTGAAGCTCACTGCTAATAGGTGTTTATTTATTTATTTAATTTATTAGTTTATTATCCTTGATATATTGAGTGTTGTTGGTCACTACAATGACCGCTCTTTCTTACTTTGTTTATCTGATATGGTGGTGAAGTATGTATGGATGCCTTGGGTTTTCCAATTCAAGATTTTATGCAAAGCCTCTTGCTGAGCTTATAACTCTACAGGTGAGATATGTATTTCTTTTGCTGAAATTGTGGAGAATATCTTGCACTTTATGGACAAAGAAACTAGATTTGATACCAAATATATATCTTTTTTAAGCATTAAGCAAGTCTCATGACTGCTGTGTAGGGGAGGGAGATTCTACAGAGTACTGTGGATCTTGTTCAAAATAATTTGAACTTAGAGGTAATACTTCATTTGATGTAATATATATAGATTTGTTTCAAAATAATTTGAACTTAGAGGTAATACTTCATTTGATGTAATATATATAGATTTGTTTCAAAATAATTTGAACTTAGAGGTAATACTTCATTTGATGTAATATATATAGATTTGTTTCAAAATAATTTGAACTTAGAGGTAATACTTGTTCAACATAATTTGGAACTTAGAGGTAATACTTCATTTGATGTACTATACTATAGATTTGTTTCAAAATTAATTTGAACTTAAGAGGTAATATCATTTGATGTATACATATCAGGTTTGGTTTCAAAATAATTTGAACTTAGAGGTAATACTTCATTTGATGTAATATATATAGATTTGTTTCAAAATAATTTGAACTTAGAGGTAATACTTCATTTGATGTAATACATATAGGTTTGTTATCGTTTTACTTTATACAGCAACTGACCTATTTATATTCATTTCTACATTATCCTCAGTTAAGTTAGAATATTTAGCTTTTGAAGAATGTATTGTGTTTCACATGGCAGGTCATATATGGTGATACAGATTCAATAATGATTTATAGTGGACTAGATGATATCACAAAAGCAAAAGCTATTGCAGGGAAAGTCATCCAGGAGGTAGGGTCGTGGTTTTTAATTATAAATGCTTAACAAATATATACATGGGGAACCTAGCACTATAATATATGATATTATGGAACTTATTTTCTCGGTGTTATTATTTCTGTAACCACCACAGGGCTTAACTTCTTTATTTTGAACTTTTAGACATTTTTGGCTTCAATGTTAGTTTAGTCTCACATTTTCTCAAAGCTTCATGCAAATTTCCATAATTTATTATTACTTTCAACAATTTTTTGAATTAACTCAATATTAACATCAATGTCAATATTCTAGATAATATTTTTTTTGTTATTTTCTGAGCTTGTTGAAATTATATACGTAGTTTATATTGCAAAAACAGTTTTGTTGAAGCCTACCATTGTCATGTGTGGTAAAAGCATAATTTCATTGAATGTCCAGAACTAATACGAGCAAGCAAAAATTGTTGCTATCAATATTATATTCTATGCTGCTCTATGCAAGCTGTAACTTCCTCTATTTGTATCTAGGTTAACAAGAAGTATAGGTGTTTAGAAATTGATCTTGATGGCTTATATAAGAGAATGTTGCTTCTCAAGAAGAAAAAATATGCAGCTGTCAAATTGCAGTTCAAGGATGGGACACCATATGAGGTATTGTTTTGAAAATATTTTCATATTTTTGGTTACCTTTCCCTTCAAGAAAGTCACTAAAGCATTTTTATCGGTACAGGTCATTGAACGGAAAGGTCTTGACATGGTTCGCCGTGACTGGAGTTTGCTGTCAAAGGAATTGGGGGACTTCTGCCTTGCTCAAATCTTGTCTGGGGGGTATGTTACTCCAGTACCAACTCCTTGCCAACTCTCTCACCTGTCACCTATCTGTCCTTCTCTCTTTCTTTCTCTGTCTCTCTTTTTCCGTACTCATGTCGACATTGTTCTTTCCTAGATATTAAGAATTTGTTGGAATCCCTTAATAATGTCTTTGGCTCCCATGGTCACAGGTCATGTGAGGACGTAGTAGAATCAATACATAATTCACTTATGAAGGTAAATTTATGTTGCTTTTGCTAAAATTATTACTGTGTGTAAAATGCTCTGGAGTGATGAGAGGTACACATATGTCTGCGAGATTGATTCCTAGTTGTGAAGGGATTTGGAGATCTGAAATAGTAAATTTATTTTCTTCTCTGGAAAATGAAGTCCCCTCTTATGTCGTGGTTCTATATCAGGCAAATTGAATTAAGTGCATGCCGATTCTTTTTATTTGATAACTTAAATGTATTTTTGCTTCAGATGGTAGATAGCTCCATTTTGTCACTAATGAACTCAACTGGTTGTCAACAATTTCCCGTATTTAACAGGTTCAGGAGGATATGAGAAATGGACAAGTAGAACTAGAGAAATATGTCATTACAAAATCATTGACTAAACCACCTGAAGCTTATCCTGATGCCAAAAATCAACCTCATGTTCTTGTGAGTAACAAAATCATTTATGAGAGCTTAGTCATATTTATACGAACTTTCATCCCTTTTTTGATAGAAGCAATTACTTTTAACTTCTACTTTTGTTTATGGAATTTTCTAGGTGGCACTAAGATTGAAGCAAATGGGCTATACTACGGGCTGTTCTGCAGGTGATACTGTACCATACATCATTTGCTCTGAGCAGGTACAGTACAGGATGTAACTGTGATTCTGTCAAATAATCAGTCACTAAAATAAAAGCATAAATGTTTTTCTACATTTAACATTCTTCTACTCTTTGACCCCTTGCTTGAACAGGAGGCTTCCTCAGGAAGTATGACAGGAATTGCGCAGCGTGCAAGACATCCTGATGAACTGAAAAAAGATGATGGGAAATGGATGATTGACATAGATTACTACTTATCACAACAAATTCATCCTGTGGTATCTCGCCTATGCGCTTCAATTCAAGGCACAAGCCCAGAGCGTTTGGCTGATTGTTTGGGCCTTGACTCATCCAAGGTAAATGCGCCCTTTTGGGATTGATATACTAACAGCTGTTGTTTAAGCATAATCTTACATGGTTTAATGCTTTTTCAGTTCAAAAATAAATCAAGTGAATCAATTAGCAATGACCCTTCAAGCTCACTTTTGTTTGCTGTCAATGACGAGGAGAGGTAATTATTTCTTACGCCCAAATATTTCATAATTGCGTCTCTAGTATCTTTCATGCTTAACTTCATTCAAATGGTGTAGCTTCTATTATTGTATGAAATACATGTTTCAAAGAACTTGTTATCAGATTTTGAAAATCATCGTATTTTGTATCTGTAATACATCTTAAAGCATAGTAAGGAAAATGTCTTTTTCACATCCATTTTCCCACTTTCTTTTTTCTTTTGAACTGCAGATATCGGAGTTGTGAGCCATTAATCTTGTCATGTCCCAGCTGCTCTAATACTTTTGAATGTCCTGCCATCTTCAGTTCCATTGGTCTGATAATCGGTGAAAAGCCAATAAAACCACGAGTAAAGGAATCTATGTCTAATTTCTGGCGCACAATGCGTTGTCCTAGATGCCCAGAAGAGGGGGATATGGGTATAATATCTTCTGCAATAATAGCAAACCAGGTGATCCATTGAATTCTACATCGTTCGATGAAGTTTTTCATAAGCGAATTTCTGCAACATCAAAACAGATCCATGTTTTATTTTATTTTATTTTGTTGAGAGTTTTGTGAGTGATCCTGTCTGTCTATTTCAGGTCAAAAGGCAAGTCGAGGGATTTCTTTCAGTGTACTATAAGGGCTTAATGATGGTAATATAATAATTGCAAAAATATTGAGCTACTTGGTTGTAATTGGCTCTCATTACCAATTTCCCTTGGTTTCAGTGCGATGATGAAACTTGCAAATATACCACACGCAGTCTCAACTTGCGGCTTGTTGGTGATGCCGAAAAAGGAACTGTTTGCGCAAATTATCCTCGCTGCAATGGTCGTCTCGTAAGAAAGGTACCCGTCACATACTCTAACCCTATATATTATACATATTAGATATATATCTTTGGCTTACGCAGAAAAAGTAACTTGTAGGTCAGCGCTTTTAATTTACCCCAGAGATAGTTCTTATGTTTAATATAAATAACGGTCAAATGGTAAAAATTTTAATTATTTCTCTATATTCTCAAAATAATTTATATTTGTGTCCAATAGAACTGTCACTCATATTTTTGGATAGACAAACAATTTATTGAAATTATATAGCCCTAAACGATGTAAAAGCACATGGTATTATTTTTGAAATTTTTTAAAATCTTTTTATGTACATTTTTTTTTTAAGTTACTGATAAATTTTTATCATACGTTAATTTCCTACAGTACAAAGAAGCAGATCTGTACAAGCAGCTTTCATATTTCTGCTATCTATTGGACACTGTATATTGCATCGAAAAGGTTATTTCCTTTCTGAACGTGCCATTTTTGATCTTGAACTTGGCAGAGCCTAATGCCCGTTATATTAGTTTTTGTACATCGTGAATCATGTTTATGATCATCTGGTGCAGATGGACGCTAACACAAGAATACCACTAGAGAAAGAGTTGAGCAAAATTCGACCAATTGTGGATTTGGCATTATCAACAGTTAAAAAGATTAGGGATCGGTGTGCTTATGGATGGGTACAGTTGAACGACCTAGCTGTCACAGTTTGAGTTGCTAAATAATGTAAATATTAACTGTCAAAATTTTGCACAAATGTAGAGTATTTGTTGATTCCTTGTATGACAATAAGTCCATTGTAATAGCAAAACAACTTTAATCAATCACTTTGGGCATATTGTCTATGCCCTAAATGATGTTCCAAGCATCAGTATTATAAATATAATGCATATTGTCTTATACGATAGAAGCACTATTAAAAGCAATTAGGTGGTAATTCCCTCACAAATATGTACAATATTTTGAAACATTGCAAAATGAATTTTTTGAATTTTGTGTTAAAGAGGTGCAATCCAGCCAAGCTCAAGGTTCATAATTCAACTGGAGCTAAACAAATTTTACTTTTCGCAATTGAACTTAACACAAGTAGAAACTAGAACTCGTTTAACATCAAATTGAATGCAAATATTTTGCGACTTGTTTAAACTTCTTGTATGGTTCTCTCAAGAGTTTATATTAAATCATTATTCTTCGAATCATTAAAAAGAATACTACACATTCATCTCAATTGAAATTAGTCATAAAAAATCATCAGTTGCTGAAATTATTCCCATTGCATTCAATCGAATTCAGACTCTGAATATTATCAAGAACTTAGTACTCTCACAAGATGCAAAATGGAACATAGTGTTTGGACCAAAGCCAAAAACGATTATTTTTATTGATTATTCAGGAAACAAATTGTTTCTCCGAGCCAAAAAGAGGTACAGGCTAATGTAAAGGACTTATCTATTTGTTGATTGTTGACTACTTGAAGAAGCTACCCCAACTATTTTGGAATCATTACTTTACCTGCATTTTGTACAATGCTTCAGGAAAATACATATCACCCACCTTTACTGCAATTCCCCAACAGGCGCCTCATTGAGCCATAGAAAATGAATGAAGTCGTACAATTTCGCACTTACACTCACCTGCTTGCCATTAGGGGAAACAATTGTTTAGTTGCAATCATCATAATTCAAAGATGAACACGTTTGTTAGTCTCAATTCTTGCTGTTTATTTTGTAGGAAATTAGCAGATAAGCAGAAATTCTCGAAGAAAAATGAGGAAGAGAGAAGAGCAGAAGCCTCAGTAGACAAAAGAAGTAAGAAGCAGAAGGGGGAGAGGAAATTTAGAAGAGAAAATATTGACTTGTAATTGTAATATCTCTGTTGTAATTCAATAGCGCTCCAAACACAGACTATACTTTTCGAATATTTTGCCAGCTCAATACTTGTTGTAAACTAACTATGTAACTATTGAAACTGATTTTTATTTGATTAACAATTAAAAAATAGAACTGCACCATAATTCTCACTTTAGACAGCAGCATTTCCTTCAACAACAATATTTCGAGTATCAACATTCACAGCAGTAATATTTCCACACAACAAGGTGTTGGGCAAAAGAGAGATGTAGTACCTTGTATGGTGTTGGGTTCAGCCTTCTCATATGATCAGGCCGCATTTGCTCAAGCTGCTTGATGCATCGGTCCCTAATGTCCTTAAGAGGAGGTAGCTCTTCTCTTGCTTTACCTTCAAGAAACACAAGCACTGCATGAGATACTGCAGACTAACTATAGCCTTGTCAAAGTGCATTGACAAATGCTGGTGAGCCTTTGTTTAGGTTAACGTTGATGCATGAGATAATTCGAGACTCGAAACTGCTAAAGTAGATATCTAAAGTATCATGCAAAACATCTAGGAGACAATAGCGTCAGGTCATGTGAACGTGTTTGTTTGAAGGTGCAATTTAACACAATTGGTCAAGTAGTTGTTATTCCCACATTCTTTTTGTTTCCCTTTCAGTATGTCACGAAGACCTTACCTAAGCTCCCAGGCCAATAACACTTCAGAAGCTCCTCCACCTTCTGTGGGACCACATATGCCCTCTTGGATTCATTAAAGGGATGGCGACATAATATCCGTTCTCCCACCTGAAAGTTCAGATAAAATGAGGCCTCACTTGCAATTTCAATATAGTTATGACAAGGATGGAGCGAACAATGGAAACTGTTATTGTGTTCTTGTTTCAACTCTTCTCAACACCCATCCGAATTAAAACCATTCTCCAATTTAAATCAATGATTTTGGAAGTTGACATTTATACTTGCTCAGAGGAAAGTTCTTTAATAAATTTCTGTATAGCATATTCTTAAACTATACACACAACGACATTTTCACCAAGCACTGCAACAAAAGATAAACATCAACAAATTTATTTATTGATGAAACCACCTTCGGAGATGGTTCATTTTCCCCAGTCATTATGTCCACCAGAGGGTAGCCTTCCTTGCCATACAACCGATAACTCCGTTTTTTACAAGGTATGGAGACCTAGTGCACATAACAAGGGAAAACATTAGAAATTTTATAAACAAAAATAAAGTTGCTATAAATTTCTTGGAACAATGTTCAACCTTAGAAACATCTTCAGAAAGTTTTATGCGAGGCTGATTGTTTATCTCAACAAGCTTGAAGACACAGCCCAAAGCAGCTTGAGCAAAACAAGTGACTAGGTTGGTGCCTACTCCAAATGCATCTACTTCATGACCCTGTGAAGGAAATCCATCTAATTAATATACTTAAGTTCATAACTCATGTTTTCTTTTTCTTTTTTCTCATTGCAACTGAAGTTCCAACATCAAATAAAGCAAAAATTGCAAGTCTATCATGATGTTAATAACAAATCTGATTAGAAAGGCATACAATTTGATCGACATCTTTGTCACTTCATACAAAAAGCTTGTACCCATGCTGCTAATCAGTAAAGCAAATAAACACAGTTCTAGCTACACTGAGAATAGGTACATTTTTTCTAATACTTTCAGACAAACAGATCAGAAATTTGACATATTATTTCCTATGAGATTGCAAACAGCAAAAGCTAAAAAAAAAAAAAGTGACCTGTTAGTTTGTACACATCCTTCCAAGTATGAAGGATTTTGCATTTAAAAATAGGCTTAGATGATGTCCATTACAAAAGGATGATTGCAAGACATGTTGAGGTGATTGACCTGATAGTGCTTCCAAATAATCAATAGCAACTACCTTTTGGATATTAGGAGCCATAAGGCCTAAGAAACTATATAATGTGGTTTTAAGTTCTTTTACATTCAATTTATCCATTGAGGTCGAATAAATAATTTTCTACAATCATGAAGCATCAAATGAACTCCAACTCCCTCACTTGTTCTGTCAAATGTATCTTTTATCTAATTTCTGAGTTAAATAAAGTCAGATTGAAATGTTTGGTGATAAGCATCTTTACTTAGAATGTTGTTGGATAGTCAGAAAAACCAAAAAGCAGAAAATATATACTTATTGCTTGGAAGCACATATTGTATGCATGAGTGAACACAAGACAGCATAAATCTCAAAAGTAGAACCCACTGTAGTATTTGCCGTAATTCATAAATGCTCTGATTCAGTTCAAATGCAGCAAATAAATTATGCTTGAATGTATCTTCATGTTAGAATGATTACCTGTTTGTTTAAAGCATCTAGAGTTTCCTCATTGAGATCATTACTAGCAGTAATACTCATCTTTCCAAAACCAGGCACTCCAAATTCCTTCTCAATGGCACGAAAGAACTTCCGGGCCTCACCTGACAAATATGCTAGATCACCAGAGTCCAGCCTAATGCCCATTGCTTTATAGCTGCATAAAACACCATCTAAACTTACTAATGAAAACTTAGTACAATTAAATGCTTAATCACAAGGACAAGATCAGTGATTGACACAATTGAGATGTGATGAAGACAAAAGAAAGATATTTGAATCTCTAACTAATGTAACAACAGGGAACATATGAATTATATGTTCCATATGGAATTCGACATGCATATGGAAGGTTTTCAAGATGAAAACATTAACAAAAGCAGATCATATTAACAAAATATGCAAAGTGATGCATCGCAAGCTTAATACAACAATATTTTTAACACTTACGATTGACAAATAGTTACAGTACACTTAATGTTTATCCATAGATATATGAATATTATCATCAACTTCAACACTACTATGATTCAGCCAGACAACAACTGAATAATTATTACATTAAAGTAAGAGGCCAAGAGCACCAAGAGAGATGCAACTGCTCAAGTCAAAATCAACAAGGTTATGAAATTGTTCAGCCCCATAATCATATAAGAAAGAAACAACTACTCAGAAATTAGCAACAAACAGTAATAACTTACACACTTACCCCAGATCATTGAGGGCTAGAGCAACAGCACAAAAGTTGGGAATTCCACTCCTCATAACCTAGCAAAATAGACAAATAGTGTGCACATCATGGTAACAGCTATAAGAACTGTGCTTAATTAAAGAAAGCAGCTGACCTAAATTAACAAAAAAAATTGAAACAAGCAACCTAGTACATGTACATGGAGGGGAAGAGAGAAGGCAATACACAATGTACAATGACAGTGCAAGAAACTGAAGTAGCATACAAGCATTTTGATAGTGTTAATTTCATAAGAAATGCCAACTTTACAATTTAGTGCAAATTACTTAAAAAACAAATAAACACTTTCCATTTCTCATTGTTGGTTTTCTGAAAATGCCTCTTTTTTTGTCACCACATCCATAGTCTTAAAACAGAAGCATCAAAAATCATAAATTGAAAATAACTTCTTTGATTCAACACCCTCATCAGATAAAAAGTATTCAAAAGAACAATTATTTGTATTTATTATTGAAATTTTGTATCAACAATCACCCATTGTCTGTGGTTCAAATACAGCCAAAGCAATTACTGCAATCTCACTTAAAATGAATTCCAGAAGTTACAATCTCACTTGGAACATAGATTACTGCCCATTGAAGGAAACAGCCAGTACACTTGAGGTTTAAGAAATCTACTTGGTATAAAGAAGATGCAAATATAGACGTTTCAGATATATTGATAAAAAAAGAAAAAAACAGTTACAAAAAAATAGTGTGGGAACAAGAGATTTGCATGGGAGAATGGAGACCTGGATAAAGATTTTTTCTTAGAGGAGTCCTGTGTATAGAAGTAGAGATTGATGAGGTGCACTGGAAGAAAAGATAAAGACAAGAGAGAAGAGAAGAACACAGAGAGTTTGACTTTAAGAGAAACAGTGGGTCCAACTCACTCTAAATTGTAAGCAAAATAAGTAGACACAAAAATGCGGTTTCTTGAATTCGCTGTGGTGTTGTTTAAATAAGATGGCAAAAGGCATGAGGAAAAGAAGACAAAATGGGACAACCTCAAATGTGTTTTAAGTTTTTATTTTACTAAAAAAAATTGAAACAACTGCATTCCCAAATGTGCCATTAATCTTTCATTTTCACTTTATTGTTTTGAGCATTTAAACCTAAATGTATCAAAATCAAGTATTCAGCTAATAAACTGAGAACCTTAAGAGTGAAATAAGCTTATTTGTGTATATGTGCGCACATGCGTGCATGTGTAAGAGAGAGAAAGAGAGAGAGAGAATTCGCATCAAATTAAAAGTTAAGCTTAACCTTCAGCATTATATTAAAAACAATTGAGTATCAATTCATCAACTACCTATTAACTAATGATGAAAGCAAAGCACAGAAAAAAGGCGTATTATCTAGGAAGCATAAACAGAAAGTTAGGTGAAGAGGTCAATACACGCAATGAAGATAATATGCTATACGAGAAGAGGATTCACTCACATCGTATGTATCTACAAGAGCAAGAAAATTATTTGGGAATGCCAGGGCATATGAGGTGAAAGCTGCTAGCTCGCTTTGATTTGTCTCACCAAAAATGCCACGAAATGCACTTGACCACTACATATGATGTCCAATGTTAACAAATTGAAAGATAGAGCAAATAGAAGGGCTAAAAAAAGAAAAATGATAAAGAAATGAAGCTTGACATTTTTACTGTGAGGATTATGCACATAATTATCTAGTAATAAACATATGGAAACATCTGCAAATAGTCAATGATGAAAAATTGACTAGGTGTTTTAACGCAAACAATATCTTTTCTGAACATTAATCAAACCTGTAATATCTTTCTTTTGTCTTTCTATACAAGAAGAGCCAAACATGAGCTACCCCGAGAAATTGTCTATGTTTTATGCAACAGTACCATTAGTCCAATACCATCACCAATTGTTACTATCTGAGATAAACTTGCTAATTTATTTTTAAAAGAATTCCAAGCCACATATGACCTCATTCACAGCTCCCATGCCATGCCATGCATTACATCAAGAGTTATACAGGGTGCAAACAACTAAAGGAAATTAAAATCAAGGCCAGAAGCACGAGACTTTGACATTTTTCACCCAAAAAAACCAACCATTGCAGTGCATGATTGTCAATTTTAGTCATAAGAGAGACGCACAGGGTAAATAAATTGAACAGGGCCCATTGATATTCGCAGTGAAAACATTTTTAACTAAAAGTAACGAGTTAAACCTGGCTAAAAAGAGAAAATGTTGAACATTGTAAAAGAAGGGCAAAGCATAACACCTGAATTTTGTTCAACCATGTCTGAACCAAACTGACAAAATCCTCGCAGCTACTTGAGCCATCAGAACTTGGGAGTGATTTGTCTACAATCTCATCAAGGCTCTGCAAGTAAGGGGATAAATCAGGTAAAACAGTAACCAAAGACAAAGTAAAGAAATAATATCACAACCTATCAAATATCAGCATATAAACTTTATGTTCATATAGACATGACAGCTTATTTTAGATGCCTGGTAACACTAGTGTAAATATATTGTAGACTTCTAGTACAAATGTAAGAATGATAGAATGTCAATATCAAATCTAACTAAACACCCCAAATGAAAAGAAACAAGAATAATGACCATACTGCTCACAAGAACATGTAACTGCAAAGGTTGGTTATTTGAGAGGCACAAAAACAAAAGGTCTAATAAAACCAAGCTTCCAGAAGCTATAACTAGAGGGATAAAAATTCTATGCTACTTTAAGCACATCCATAACAAAATACATCATAAACTAAAATGCTACTTCAAAGTGCATATAAATAGATGCGCATCATTCTCAATATAAATGCACATTGAAATTACTGATAATGACAACAAAGAAACACATCTTAAGCTGCTTGTCAAGAGTACCAACCATATATGAGCTAACAAAAGCATGGGAATGTGTTCCACGAAGAGGTATCCCAAACAACCTGCCAGCTGCAACATTACTGTCAAAAACACAAAAAATTTAGTGTTAGACGTATAAAAAATTAGTCCAAATGAAGAACTTGAAGAATTAATAGACGATAGTTAAAGTTCAAATAATCTCCAAATCAACCTATAAGCCAGCATTGGAGTCTTTGTTTTAACTTGCTCTATCGATTCTAAAATCATGATGAGACAAATGAAACTGATGATTCAAGAATGATGACTCTTCTTTTCTTTTGTATAGGAGTTAACTGAGTAAAACAAAAGAGCATCTGAGGATTGCCAATCTATGTACAAAAAGATTATTAAGGATATAAGATAACTCCTATCTAAAAACGATACCAAATTTTACATCCAAAAAAGAAAAGCAATTCTTAATCTGGTTTATAATGAGAAAATCTATGGGACGTGAAACTTTGATGGGCCTTCAGATGGTAAATTTTCATCACCAAATGAATTGTCACTTCGAAATATCAATACTGAAAATTATTCATGTGATAATTTCTATGCAGTTTATCCCTTTCCTTTTCATCTTTTGGAACAGTATATACCTTGGCTTTGAGAAGCAAAAACTCAGACTGACATTTATCCCCCCCAAATGAGGCCTCCTATCACCTTAGACATCTAGGATAAATCATGTTGAAGATATTTAAATACTCAATTTTAATTAGAAACTAAAGAATGTTAATGTATTATTAGATACTTTGATTAAATTTATTCCCTAAGCATTTTATGATTACACCCGGATTCAACATATGGCTAGATACTAAGCATCATCATATGGATTTGACGGAATTACCTTGTTGCATAATGCTACTACAAGACTCCAAGACTCCATCTAATGGAAGTAATTACTATCAACATATACTGCAAGATAATTTCAACTAGAAATTACCTTGTCGCATCAAATCCTCCAAGATAGCTGTACTTTGATGCCCCTACTCCACCATCAGGACCCTATATGTAAAATAAGGGAATGTTTTCATACACAGCACTTGGTTTGACACTTCATGAATAATAAGTAAAAGAAATTAACATAACAATTGAAAACCTGAGCCCGTCGGAGCCCAAACTCTAGTAGAATTTTTGATTTTCCAGCAACAAATCGATGCCTTGCTGCATTTGTTGCCACTAATGATGCATAATTAACAAGATTCAGTAATGGAGTTTCCAGCAATTGAACCACCTAAAAAAAAAAGAAATACAACTATTAAAATCTACAACTTAAAAATACTCTATCATAATATAAACATAATTCAAATAAAACCAGAATGGCAAACCTCCATTTTCTCCTTGGCAAAGAGAAAATTTACCATTTGACTATATCCATATTTTTTTTTTCATTCTTGATATACAATGTTTGGATTGTATTTGTTTTGTCAACTGCTATGTTAGATATTTTTCCTGAAGCAATTCTTCTTCTGAAAATCCTAGCTTTTCTTATTAGGATTGCAAATCAAAAGATATTGTATAAACTTATATAAAATTGAATATAATTGATAATAAATTTAAATGTTTACTTTTATCCAAAATGCCCACAGTTTTTGTGTTTTTAACATTGAAAGCTTCTGTATATAAATGAATATCATTTTGGTTTTTAATATTGAAAGAAGTGGCTTTTAAAATACCTAACAAATTGATTTGGATTACAGGCATGGTTTTTGTTTTTTTTTTTTTGTTTTTTTTTTTTGGGATCCAAAATGCCCACAGTTTTTGTGTTTTTAACATTGAAAGCTTCGTATATAAGAAATATCATTTTGGGTTTTTTAAATATGAAAGAAGTGGGCTTTTAAAAATCCTACAAATTGATTTGGAATTACAGGCAAATGGTTTTTTTGTTTTTTTTTTTGTTTTTTTTTTTTGGGGGGGGGGGGGGGGGGGGGGGAGGGGAAGAGGGGAAGAGGGTTTGTTTACAGACAAGAGAAGAGAGAGCAAAATATACTAATTGTTACTCACAGGCAATTGAGGGGAGAGGGTTGTTTACAGACAGAGAGAGAGAGCAAAAATACTATTGTTACTCACAGCAATTGGCCCTTCAATTCTTAGCAAGGGAACCTTTGGGAATACAACTGAGCCCTCTGCAATAGCATACAATTCAACTTCGGAGCAGTCAAGTCCTCTAAGATAGTTGCAGAAGCCATCCTATGATTAACAATGAACACTACTTAGACAACAGCTACTTATCTGTCAGTAGAAATTTGTACATAAAACATAAAACTAAACAGCATGGCATCATCCAAAAACACATTTTCAACAATTACTAGGAAGCATTATCTCTCATCAGAGCAACAAGAAATACCAAAGAGCTTATCCAGTTTAGAGGGGGGAAAAAAAGTTAGTGCCTCTTATATGTAGGCTTTTTTATCCTTCCAAATTTCCCTCTCAATTAGTACTAGGCAGCCATACAGCTCACAGATAGAAGATACCTAAGTGGCAAACCCATAAACATGTGCAAGTTAAAACTATCTATTTTAACTCATGCATCTTAAAATAACCATTCTGAACTTAATTACTGGTTCCATTATGCTAGCAACATTTATGACAATTAAGTTGAGAATGCATAAATTTCAATGTCAAAATATTCAAAAACATTAGTTAACACAACATGGAGCACGTAGCAAATAATGAGTATCAAAAAAAGGTGAAAAAAAATCAATTATCACATTGACTGTTAAGAATATAAATACTTGAAACTACAAGTAAGCACTAAGGAATATGTGTGATAAAAATATCTATTGGCATAATTAAGCCTCAGTTCATATTCTAAGTTTAAAACGTGTATATATAACAGAACACTAACTACCATTGCTAAAAATGAGAAATAGTAGGTATTTCTCTTGAGATTTAAACATCAGATTGAAAGTTCCATTGAAAACACAAATTCCAGACAATGTGACAGACTACAAAGGATGAAATGAGATCATTTACCTCGCAAGAACCAGGCAAACTTTGACGAACAAAAGCAATCTCATCCTCGGAGAATTTGAAATTAGCAACGAACCTTATGCATTCATCTAATCCAGCAAAAATAGTATATTCACCACCAAACGGATTCTTCCGAAAATACAAATCAAACCTGACTCAAATTTTCAAATATTAGCTTCAGAATATGAAATCCAAACTAACCGTTTGTCAATCGGAAAATATTGCATGATTAAAAATAATTAACAGCTGAACCGAGTTTGCACATTTTCATTATCGATTGTCCTTATGGATTTTCTCAGAAACCAAAAGGAGGTAAAAAGCAACAAAAACAAATAAATAAACACTCACACAGCTCGCTCTTGATGCTTTCCGGCTTTCCAGTAAGCGTAAGCCATTGTAAACTGATAGAGATCCGTTAACAAAGGCGTAACCATGGGGTTGGTGGGGCCGTCCGGTATCCGAGCGGAGTCGAACCTGGAGCGGTCTCCATTAGGACAATTAGCATTCACCTCCATATCTAAATAACCTTTAGGGCTCTTGTTGTGATTTTTGCTTCTCTTATTTGCTTCAGCAACACATGTATATATAGAGCAAAACAGAGTCTCAAAAGCTAAACAACGCGAGCGTGACGAAGAAGGCAGAGAGAAGACATACTAATAGAAGAGGGAAGCTTCTTTGGCTAAGAAAGACCGTTCAAAACGAAGGCGTTTTTTTTCTATGGAATAGAATTGGTTACAGAATAAACTTTGACAGAGCGACACACAAAAACGGGAATCGGAAAAGCAGATGGAAATATTTCCGCTTAGCTTTTGCCAAATCTATTATCCGAGGTCACACACTCTCTCGCCACTCCAGGACGGCATATTACTAGTAATTTATTTTATATATTTATATATATTATACTATATATATATAATATAAAATTTTTTATTTATATTTAAAATATTATACATTATATTATTAAAAAACTTGTAAAAATAACAAACATATGTTACTATAAAAAATAGAAAATTTTAAATTGATGATTTTAAAATTTTTTATTTATAATATAAATATTATACATTTTTATATTATTAAAAACTTGTAAATAACAACATATGTTACTATAAAAATAGAAAATTTTAAATTGATGATTTATTGTTCATTTATATTGAAAATATATTAAATTTGTATGCATAATCTGATTGATAATGTATATCTTGTACATGTCTTTATTTGTTTCATTTGAGTAAATTAAGTATCCCACAGGTGTTATGCTCCATTACCAACAAATTAATGTTTATATGCATGAAAACTAATGTCTTCAATTAATATTGTTTACTTACATGAATTACATAATAATCCAAATTAGTCATAATTAAATATGAATTATGATTATAATAAAGAAATAAATCTAATAAAAAATTAAATTAAACTAAATTAATTGCATTACATATAATTGAAATAAAAAGAAAGAAGAAGAAGGGTGTTATAAGGGGCATTAGAAATTGGAATTAGAAAATAATAACAACAATTAATATACATGTAAAAATTTTGTTTTTTAAAGGGGAAAAAAAAGAAGAGGACTGACTATAAGGGCTTATTACAAAGGGATAAGTATCAACCACATAACTTAAATCGTCAGTAAATGGAAATAACAAATAACAATATATAACAATTGTACGTGGAAATAAAATATAATTACAGATAAGCAGCTCCCTAAGCTTCATAAAGTTTTTTTTTTTATTAATTAGTAAACATAATTATGGAGAGTATATATTTTTTTGGTATGTACACATTATTTTATTGTGATAAAATCTTTTTAATATAGAATAAAATTCACTATACGCTCTGAGGTATATGAGTCGTGTCATGTATCAAACTAACTATGAAAAGTACAATAACTTTTTGCGGTTTCCAAATGTGAAATATGCCAGATCACCGCGGCCAACTTTAGCTGCAATCAAGTTTTGAATCCGGTTAATATCAATTCAAATGGAACTTGGTTACCTTAATTTCCTTTTTTTTAATAAACCAACGAACTTTTTAACACATTTGCTTTTGCTATTAACTGAGTCTATTCAATTGGACCACGAAATGAACTTAGGATTACCCTATTTTTAGTAGTAATCCAAACATTAACTTAAAGATTTGGTCTATTTTGCTATTGAACGAATCAACTGGGCCACGAAAAAATGCATTAAATGTGTACTTCTACGACAAGAACAGAAGTACTGAGCTGAATTGAACATTATACCGTCCTATGGTCTATGAAGATATTAGATATAGGCTAAGTGACAAAGTTAAACATGGACTGTCACAAATGTCCAAGAGGCAAACCTTCATTGACTGATCTTTTTATGGCACAATTGTCTCGTAACAAGTCTAATTTTGCCGGTATGTATTAGAATTTTACGAAGGATCCAAAGTTCAGTGACTCATTTTCTGCTTTTAAAATAGCCTGTCAAACGTTTTTTTTCTTCTAGTCTTATTTTAATCACCAGATTAGAAATGACAATGAATACTTGTTGTTTTGTTTTCTTTGAGAACTAGCGGTCACCATTGGAAACAGCAATAGTGACAAGGTCTTTGCTTACTTTTGACATTAGAAATTGGATTCTTTAAGTGGAAAGAAAACCGTGCAGAACGACAAACCGTTTGCCCATTTGACACGAAACTTTCAGTTTTAACGTGTTCTTCAAGACCCTTGAATGTGCACAGAGGAAATTAACAGTCAAAGATGGAATTTTTACTTTGCAGTCACCTCTGGATTGTGGATATGCAAACAGAGTGAAAGAAAAGGTAAAGATTAAAGGAATATTGAATTCTTAGTTCTTACCACATGTTTTGACTATTGACATTGAACAATGACTCGGAATATAACAACAGAAGGACAAAGTCTGTTAAAAAATTTTTTTAGAAAATGGGAAAACCAGTGCATTAATATTTTTCCTTTTTCCCAGTTTTTGTTCTGTTAAAATTGAAGTTTGAGTTGCAGGATTCGTAAACATATTCGAGTGTAACTAGCAAGAGAATATAATTCAATGTTTATAGATATGAAAATAATTTACCTAAGGCTGCAGCCTGTGTTAGGATTCAATTACATTGCTTTTATTCATGTGAACAACTTTGGCATATCTAACAACTATGACAGTTAGTTTTCTTCCAAGTGAGAATCACCTAATGCATCGAAGGTACGAGTGCTGCTCACCGAAGATGGATGCATGTCCAAAAGGCCAGTTTCTTGATTGACCCCAATAGCAACGTCAAAACATAAGTTGGAGGGCATTGTGAAGTCAGTTCGAGGATTTTCATTTCAAATATTTCCTCTTTCTATCTTAATTTCATCACAGGAAACACTTCCCCCTCTTCCTGTCCTGGTAAAAAGGACATAACAACATAAATTAAGGCACGACTCCATATATACACATGTATATGCTAAAGAAAAAAAAGTGAAACTATTAAACTACAACTACCCTTGCAAATTTGGTGAAATTAATAGATTATTTTCCACATTCTTTAAGAACATACATTCACTTTGGTCTCTTCCTATCATGCATGTGCCTAAAGAGTTGCTGCCGTTCAAATTAGATGCTTGTGTTTCAAAGTGAAGTGGTGCTGTAGCTGCAGCTCCCATTTCAAATTCTAGCAGAAAAAGAAATTACAGATGAACTTTCAACTGTAAAAGACATGAAGTTTGCTATGTGATCAGTCAGCTTAATATTCACCAAACAATATGTAGGTACTAGCCATAGGATACACACCGGATGGCATCCTTTCTGAATGATCTGCATTAAGCTGATGATGTGGCAGCACATCTTCCCTGCAAATTTCCTTGAACAGCATACATGTAAGATGTATAGCTAATCACGTCCATATTGTTACTCATAAGAGGATCATATTCAGACTCACCTCAGTAGATGAACGAAGTGGGAAAGGCCCAAAATGAGCTCGGATAGATGAATCCACGCCAAATGAAGTTTCAGAATTTATTATGTTGGGTACTGATAGCTGGTTTGAGACAGAACATTGATTTGGGAGATCGAAGATAATTTGTTCTTGGTTTTCTTGGTTTATCGGAAGACTACATGCTATATTCATATGCTGAGACCCACTTTCCTCATCAAATCCCCTGCTTAATTGAGAGAGTTGGACTGGCGGTAGCAATCCAGGTAAGCACATTGGATGCAAACTTATTCCATTTCTCATAGACAACATCTGGAACATGAATCATCAATTTAGCAACTTAGAAACAAACTTGGGTTATCAGTTATCTCTCATGGCTTCAATTTTGTATTCTTCATCCCTACTTGTTCTAGCATTTTCATTGAGAGAAAGAAGACAAAAACCTGGGCCAAGGCTAATTAAGGTTTAGCGGGTGAACTAATCATGTTAGATTAAAACTAGTGAATTCCAAAGAGCAAAAGCATGCCTAAAGTAAAATCATTACCCTTGATGCACTTTGTGCAATACTAGTTGGTTCAGATAGTGAAACTAAGGGTGTGTTTGGTAGGAGGAAGGAAGGAAAGAAAGATATGTGGTGGCATAACATAACTTACGAGACATTTAGGAAAGAAAATAGATATTTATTTGAAAAAAGTCCACATTCATTTCCTTCCACTCTTCTTTCCTCCCTACCAAACATACCATAAACCTTCTATGAGACTTTTCTAACTTTTCATCAGAATAAAGTGGCATGCATCATAGCTAGTTATCTGGATGAGTATTTATGATCTCTATTAATTACACCATCACTCATTAATCCACTCTAGCTAGCTCTAGTGATAGCCACATTTGTCCTTCGCCTTCGCCAATTTTAACAATTAGACCAGTTGAATCCTAAATGCCCCAGCTATCAAAAAACTTCATCAAACCAGAAGGAAATGAGAAATTGTGATTCTAATATGTGCATTCTTTTGTGCTACAAAACAAAAAAACAAAAACCAAAAAACTGTACTCCCTCATTAACCAAAAAAAAAAAAAAAAAGTCTTCTTTCTTTTAGAAAACTCTTCTCCCCTATTCCAGCTTTTTTCCTTTGGAGGGGATTTTTATATTTTCTTCAGGAGATGGAATCAAACACAGAAAGTGGCCTTTCATGCTAGTAAGTTATCCTCTACTAATCACTATGGATTTCTTATGGTGTCCTAGTAAAGTTATCCTAGTGATGGAATTGGCCCTCCACTTATCATTTTAGTAATTTGGGAACAAATTATTTCCCAACACAGTTAGATTCAACATTGTTTAGACAGTTGTCCATTTTGAATGACGACCAACCACACCATTGAGTTAAAAAAAAGTCATCAAATGGCTAAAAAACATGATTAGCATAAAGATGCCACAAACCTGTACTTGGAGCTGAAGCTGCTTGAGGTATTCAATAGCTTCGTCAAGCATGGAAGCCTTATCAGTCTGCCATTAAGGAGGAACTAAATCAATCAACTTCTAACTAATCCCAAAAGTCCATAAAAGTCAAACTAAAAGAATCCATACATTACCTTGTTAGAATTTGGAATCAAATTTTGAAGCGCTTTCATTTTCTCGTTTATCCTACTCCTTCTCCTCTGTTTAAAAAAAAACAATAAATTAATTGATTAAATAAAATAAAACAAAATTAAAAAAAGCCAACCTTTTCAGATAAATTGTGAACTTCTGCAGCTCTGCTTCTTTTGGATGAACTGCGTGGGGGAGCTGGCTTTGCTGGTACCTCCTCTGCCAAAGCTTCAAGACCCTCCTGCACTCAAGAATTACCAAATTCATACAATCTGAAACTTTCCGTTTTCACACATTTTCTATGCGACCAAACAGAGCCAAAAAAAAAAAAAAATCCCCTCCCGGGAAACAAGGAGTAGAACTAAGAGCACCTCGCTTTCGCAATCGCAATCAGTCTCGTTCTCGCTATTAGTTCCTCCAATGGACAAAGACGAGGCATTAGCTGTCGCAGCCGCAGCTCCTCGCACATTCCCCGAGAATAAACCAACGTTCACTCCATCACCCGAATCCAAACAGCCCGAGATCCCATCCTTCACGAGCGTTGATCGTGATGAATGGTGAGGATGAAAAGACAGTGGCGCCGCAAACGACTGCGCCTGTGGACCCGAATAAGCCGCAAATGAAGAGCATGACGACAACGTCAATGAAGACATTGAAGAAGAAGAAGAAGAAGAAGAATGGTGGAGAATCTGATGGAGAAAAAGTGACATTTCATCTGACGAACGGTGATCGCCTCCTGTCGATGAAGAAGAACATGTATTATAAATATCTCCCATTATTTCAGTTTCTCTGTTTTTGGTCGTTTCTTTGGTTCAGTGTTGTAGATGATGGAGCTACAGAGCTACCTGAGGATTTTGATGGCGGGTTTTAATTAGTAGTATGGAGAAATAGTTAGTACGCGCCAGTAAAGCGAGTGGGGACAGGATAGCAGCATCAGGATCTTGGAATTGGAGATTTGCTATAGAGAATCGTCAAGCGCTATAATGATTGGTCTGTCAAATGGGAAATTTGACCGATCTGGGTAATGGTAAAGCAATGGCCTTTTCTGTGTCAGGTGATATCCACTATAAGTCACACGTGAGGCTCACCAAAATTTTTTTTAATTTATTAAAATGAATGTTTTTCTTTTTTGACTATTAAAATAAATGTTAAGTGGTATAAGTACTAATTATTAATTTAACTCGTATTACTAAACGCACACGCACTCAAGGATAACGAGAAATCCATAATATTATAAGTTCAAATCTTCGTGTAAAATTTTCACGGACCAATTCTTTATTTATCTCTCTTAACCAGTAGGGAATGTTGATGAAGACTTTAGTCAGAAAAAATTAAATTTTCATAAGGATTAAGAAAATAGTTTACATATGATTTTTCAAACTTTATGTCTAAAACATCAGTGCTTCCTCAGAAATTTTTATGCAAGCTCATTTATGTATAAGAGCAAAGAGGATGCATTAAATGATTATTTAATTTTTTATTTACTATTAACCGGTGATTCTCTCGCATTTAATTCTTTACTCATAAACCATATAAGGGTAATATAGAACATTTATTTCGACATATTTCCCATAATTATTAAATTAAGTCAATTTCTCTATATAAATAAAACATTCAAAAAGCAAAATTTTTATATCTAAATTGAATCGGAGAATATTGGTTCAGGTAACGAGATACGTACTTGGTATGATTTATCATCTATATATCTTGTCCCTTTCCTTTTCCTTCAATGTTTTTAACCAAAGATCTCTACGTCTTTAGCTTTGTGTTGAACAAAATGGCCCACTTGACTTGATAGGTTTGGTTGTAGTCAGTTGTCGTTAATTAATTAATGCTAAATGGCTTAGTTGGTATTGAATTTATAATAGTTCCAAAATTTTGAGTTGCAAAATTTTTAATTTTATAGTATTTTTTTCTATATTTAATGAAGCTGTTTTAGTTTTGTTTTTATTAAATATGAAAAAAATATATATTTATTATTAAAATTTTATTTATTTTTGATAGTGTAATACCCTGAATTTTTATTTTCAAAACCTTCGAATTTTTTTTTAAATCAAAAATCGCAAATTTTGGCCGTGTGAGCTGCAAATGTAAAACATACATACTCTAACACAGATAGATATATAGTGTGATTGTCGAAGTATTAGTCAGTATCAACATCCTTATATAGATTGGTTATAAGTATAATATAGTGTAAAATAATGATCATCTAGCACATATATAATGAATCCTTATCAAAAATTGTGTTTAAAACATCAGCCTATAAGCTTTCACTAACTCAGATCTAATATATATCCTCACATGCGAGTGTCGAGATTACACCTACAGATGTATAATGCTCTCCTCCAGGCGCCAAGAGGATGCATTAAAGCGATAAGAATTTATTGTTAATTTATATTTTAATATTACTTTTATAACTCTCAGGTAGAGGTCGTCATACGACGATGTGTCAATTCCTCCTGTTTACGTTCCTTTACATACCCTTATATGAAGAGGAGATATAAGAACCATCTCCTATGAGTGTCGCCCATATTAATACGCGACTCAATTTATTTAGAGATAATACAATGTTCTCCATGCGTAACATATCTAATTACTCAAAGAGACATGCCAAAAAGCAAAATTTTTATATCTAAATTGGAATTCGGAGAATATTGCTCATGGTCACTGAGCATATCGTTACTCATCGTGTTAGTGAGTGCTCTCCTTGTGATACTTACTCTTGGTGATCTTGTCCCTTCTCCTAGGTTATACCATCCCTGCCAATGTGGTTTTTGACTAAATCAAAGATCTTTCTACGTCTTTAGACTAATATGTGTAGATAGCAAAAACTGGCCCCACTGACTTGATAGTTTGGCCTTGTTGATGTTCTCTCAGGTGTCAGGGTGTATCATTAATTAATGCTTTTAAATGGCCTTAGCTTCTGGTATGTAGCATTTCTATAATAGTTACAAGCACCTCACTTGGTGTGTACAGTGGGTCACATGATTTTTTAATTTTATAGAGTGATTCTCCTCTTTCTATATTTAATGAAAAAGACGTGTTTTAGTTTTTGTTTTTATTAAATATGAAAAAAGTGACAAATATATATATATTCTATATTATAATGAAAATAATTTATAATACTCTCCATTATTATCCTTTTGATTGGAGTGGTATACCCTGAAATTTTTATTCATAAACCTCTTCGAATTTTTTTTTTATAATCAAAAAATCGCAAATTTTGGCCGTGTTGAGCTGCAAATGTAAAAAACAGGCTCAATTCGAGGCACAAATTTTTCAAAATTGGGCCAAGCCCAAAAAATCGTGAAAATATAACACAATGACAAATATATTATCAAAGTACCGAAAACTCATGATGGATACAATACAAATTATAGACAACCAATATAAGATATTACTCAAGTCTCAAAAATGGCGGTGTAGAGAGCCATATGTGATCGAGCCAAGAGTCGAATATCCACTTTCTGACCCAATTCCGATAATGTTCAGAATATTCGCATACTTCGATGATTCATATGTTGCACAAACGTACATTCTTTCTTTTCTTTCTTTCTCATCTTCTTTTCTTTCCTCTATTCTTCCATCTCGGATTTTATCACGGGGCCGACAAACTTTTCCTCACCTACTCATCCATGCTACCATCTCACAGTTTGACACAAAGCCTGCCCATAAATCACAGAAATGCTCCCACTCAAGCTACGCGATCTCAGACACGTCCGCTGCACCAAGGTTTACCTTGACGCTGCGCAGCCTCTTAAACCAATAGGTTTCATACACACAGTTCTACATACTCTCTTAGTCTTCCGGTTTTAAATATTAAATGTAAGTGTGCGCCAGAAACTTATGAGATTGAAGTAATGTGTCGGTCCATCAAGAGACGACAGATTTTATATGATGCGATCCAAACTCACCGTGTAGCTCTCTCGATACTCTAAGCATGTTCGTGCCTTGTATCCCTTTTTCTGCTTTCTTCGTCATTTAAATCAGAATACGGCACAGCTCCAAGATCACCATCTCATACTTCTAGGGAAACCCACAAAAATGAAAAAATGAGAGGAAATCAGGTTTTTTAATACATCATAATATTTCCAACGTAATAAAAACTATAAGCAAAAAATTAAAACCATATGCTTGGAGACAATTTTGGCAAAAAAAATTAATTAACTCAGAGACAGAGTTAGGATAATTAGTTTAGAGGGCTAAATGAAATTTTTTAATTGGAGTGCCGATCTCGCGAAACGAAGACCAGAGACGGACTCTGGACGAAAAATCGAGTCAAATGGTGTGGAGAGCATTCGGTTCTGAGCTGCCGCGACTTTCCGGCCACCGTGCACGGCGGCTGGCGGCGACGGTTCGGTGACCGGCCGGCGACACTCCGGCGAGGCCCTGAGAGATAGAATATTCCTCTCTTCCCGCTGATCACGGAATGGTCGCCCGATTCTCAATTGGTACGTTCTAAGACTAAATTCGCAATTTTTGTGTATAAAGAACTAATTGATTAATGAATTTAATTGAGTTATTAAAAAGATTGAACTGAATAATAAGAAATTAAGTTATTGGAATAGCTTAAATATATATATCCTCATTAAATATAAGTGTGAATATGAATAATAAGAAATTAACATTATATGGAAAAGAACTCTAAAATCTAGTATATAGTAGACACCCTTATAATCTTTTTGTAAATTAACATTATAATTGATAGTGTGGTGTGATTGCGATTAGCGAAGATGATATAGTTAACTTGGATATTATGACGATTTTAGAAAATGTATTGCATAAATTAGGTTATTGACCATTGACAAATTAAAACTTTACAAATAATGAATTATAAATTATAATTATAAGAAGACTTGACTATGTGAAATATATAAGAATATCACATATAAAATAAACTATTAATAATATTTGAAATCTATAAAATTGATAATTTTTGAGTAAGGGATTAATTGTGATGACTCGTTAGTCCACGGACCTCCATAATTAGAAGACTTGACATGGAAATAAGAATTCACATATAGAATAGCTAGATTATTGAATCCATTATGAATTTTTGGTAAGGAAATGATGACTTAGTAGGTATTTTTGGTCGTTGGTTGAATTCTTGGTATTTTATAAAGGAAACCTTGATTGTACCGTTTAAATTGAACAATTATTGTGGTATAATGCAAACAAAGTTATAAATTAAGTTCTTGATGGATTATATGTGCTCTTCATAACTTGTTGCTTTGGAAGGAGGATGGGATTTTAAATTGACTGATTGCCCGACGGATGGGCTGTGTGCATTGATTTATAAATATATAATAATATTGTGATAATTGAGCAGGTAGATAGTCCAATTTTTAGGAGGGGAGGTGCTTTGCAACGAAATTTTGATAGAACTAATAGAGAACTAATTTAAATTAAACAAACATAATTAATAATATTAATTTGGATTAATATACATATAATTTAGAGAGTACATAATAAAATATTAGTGGCTTTGATAAAAATATTCATTTATCCGTATATCATTTATTTAATAATTATATATACATAATATAATTTAAAACTTATATTCATTAATTATCGTTAATTATTGATATAATTTATTTTATATATTGTTGTTTATAGTTAGTACTTATTAATTAAGTTATATATAGCATTTAGAGAATTGGAGATGTCCTGAATTAGTGCATTAACAGTTAATCGATGATTAATTGATTAATAATTGCTATGCATATTTAATTTGCAAATAAACACAAATTGATTAATTGTGTTGTGATATTAACCTGTGCTTTGTTTGTGTGGAATTGGGATTTGAAGTGTGTGTCTTACACAATCCGAGGTTTTGTGAGACCGTTTTATACCGTTATATGGAATCCA